AGAAGAAGAAGAAGAAGAAGAAGAAGAAGAAGAAGAAGAAGAAGAAGTAGAAGTAGTAGTTGTTCTTCCTCATCAATTCCAAACCAGTGAATTGCTGTAGAAATCTGTAGAAATCTGTAATCAGTGCAAAAGAAGTCATGTCCAGAAGTGTGCCTTTTATTAACATCCAATAAAGTTCATAGGAAATCTTCAAAAAAGCCTTTGTGATGTTAAATGCATCTTTCCAGAATTTAGCACCATCCAAAGATGAGAAAAATATGTGAAGACCAAAGAAAGCTGATATAATTGGCTATCCTAAATTTTAAACTTCTCCATGTAAGAAATGTACTTTAAGATAAACAGAAGTTATATAAATATATATATTTATATGATTATTTATATTTATATACATATATACATAACACATGATAGACAATAGGCTAACTTCTTTCTTTAAAAATAAACCATTGTAAAAATAAAAATAAAGCAGTGGAGTGTGGTAGAAACTGCTTTTAATCCCAACACTTGGGATGCAGGGCAAGGCAAAACTCTGGAGTTTAAAGCCAACCTGGTCTACTTAGTGAATTCCAGGCAAGCCAAGACTAAAAGGTGAGAGCCTGCCTCAAATAAATTAATTTAAGAAGTAGCAGAATTAAAAATAGGAAAATGTGAAACTACAAATAAAGTTGCACGAAGATTGTGTACTGAGTGAGGGTAGGAGGCAACCTTCCTGTTACCTGTGGATGTGTATCTGTAAAGGCTTAGATAATTTAGTAGCATCCATGTTAATACCAGGCAGTGTTAAATGTTTATTCAGCAGTTATACTTCTAGGTAACTATGTAGGATCAGACTTATAAAAGCATGAATGCAATTTAGACAGCAGTCTGTAGACCACCCATATAGGAGAATGTGCCACTAAATAGAAGAAAATACATCTAAGTGCATTTTCCAGATACATGAAGAGCAGAAGGTACTGCAGTATGTATTGAGTGCTCACGTTCACTTCCATGTAACAGATACATATACACTCATTCTGGAATACAACACTAATCCACCCTTCAGAAAGGGGATCTGCAGGGCTACACAGAAACCTTGTCTCGTAAAACCAAAAGAGAGAGAGGCCGGGCATTGTGGTGCATGCCTTTAATCCCAGGACTCAGGAGGCAGAGGCAAGTGGATCTCTCTGAGTTCCAAGCCAGCCTAGTCTACAAAGCAAGTCCAGGACAGCCAGGACTACACAGAGAAACCCTGTCTCAAAAAAAACAAAAAACATGAAGAAAAAAAAGAAAAGGGGGTTTGTTTGTTAGCATTGTTGTAAATCTTTTCATTTTATAAATTTTGTACTGTTTGAGTTTGTTTGTGTGGATGTTTCTTTTCTGTGAATTTTAATGTTGGACTGTCTTTCCTTTAAAACAGGTGACTGCCCATTGATTGTTCAGTTTGCTGCTAATGATGCAAGACTTGTATCTGATGCTGCTCTTATAGTCTGCCCCTATGCAAACGGAATCGATATTAACTGTGGTTGCCCTCAGAGGTAAAGGCCAAAGAAATCAGAACACTTTCCAAAGAGGTTAGAAGAAAAAAATGATGGGTACATGGTAAAATATTTTTCCAGTTTTCTGAAAGTTAAAAAGAACAACCTGAGTTCTGTCCCTGAAGCCTGCATGATAGAAGGAGAGAACTGACTCCCCAGAGTGTCCTCAAACCATGCACACTACTCCCCCACATACTCACATCACACATATATTAGTAATAATTAATTAATTAAATTCTAAAGGGAAGACTTTAAAACACTATGGGTCTAAACAAGGTTGTTGTTTTTTTTTTTTTTTTTTTAAGTTTATTTAGGAACAGCTTTAAAGGACTTTTATGGTGACAGAGATGATTTATAGGTTTGACTAGTTGTTTTTTCTTCCTCATTTCTAGCTATTGTTTTGTTTTTAGGCTTGTTTGTTTGTTTGTTTTGGTGGGGGCTCAGTTGTGATAAACACTAAGGCACACTACAACACTGAGGGAAGACAAGGAATATACCTGGAGGCAGGAACTGAAGCAGAGACCATGGAGTAACACTGTTTGCTTTCTGCCTTTATCTAGTTACTTTTCTGTTGCCATGATAAAACACTATGACTAAGGCAGTATATAAGAGAAGGGTGAAAATAAGGGACGACAGATTCAGAGGGTGAGTCTGTGACCACCATGGCCAGAAGCAGGGCAGCAGGCAGGTAGGCACAGCATTAAAGAAGCAGCTGAGAGCATACATCTTAAGACACAACCATGAGGCAAAGAGAACTAGCTGGGAACGGTTTGGGCTTTTGAAAACTCAAAGCCTACCCCCAGTGACACACCTCCTTCATCAAAGTCACACCTCATAATCCTTCCCAAATAGATTCACCAACTAGTGAAGCAAGCATTCGAGTATATGAACGAAGGGGGCCCATTCTTGTTCAAACCACTGCATTCCTCCTTCTTCCTGCCCCCACCCCCTTGTAGCCATAGGTTTGTATCTATACTGTAACACTAAATCCATTTAGTCTACCTTCAAAAGTCCCCATAGTATTTCAGTCTAAACACTGTTTAATAGTTAAAATTCTATTTGAGAGTCAAGGCAATTCTCTTGTTCAGACAGCAAGAGATTACACACTTTAAACTTACAATGGCATAGAACACACATCACCATTTTAAAAGGAAAGAAAGAACATAGAGAGGAAAAATTAGAGCAAAGCAGACTGAAACCCAGCAGGGCAAACTCCAAATCCTGTAGATCTAAGTCCAGTATCAAAGAGTTTACATGGCACTTCCTGCTCTCTTTTCGGCTGGTTCCACTCTACCTGTCCAGCTCTCCCCAGCAGACATCCTATGTCTCTGGTGTCCTCAACCCAATCCAGACTTCATTTTCACAGCGTCACATGATGGCCTCTCAGCAGCTCCAGGGAAGGACTCCCCTGCCACACACCTGTCCTCTGCAGCTCTCCTTAACTGCGGAGGAAAGTTCCCATAACATCCTTTCCCTCCAGTTCCTTAATGACGCCAGAGTCGGAACCACATGACTGAAGCTGCCAAGTTTGGTGGCCTTCTTGGGAAGGAATCTGGGCCCCTTCTTAAAGTACATTTGCGTAATCTTTGGCCTGCAGTTTTTAGGTTCAGCAGTTTCCTTAGGCCTTCCCCTTTCACAAGCTGAAGGATTAGCTAGGTGGGGTCTCTCACTGAAGGCACTACTCCCTTTATTCTGTCTAATGTCTCTGCCTCTCCTTATCTTCTTTAAGCACAAGCCTTAGCTCCAACATTAAATTAGCTGCAGCTCCTTTCTCCTCCAAGTGTACATACTGTATTTCTTTTTGCCCCACTTGCTCTTTCTCATTGTAGATTTGCCTAAAAGTGATCTAATGACAAAAGAATAGTCTTTGGAAAATAGGCTGTATTGAAATCTCCTCTGCCCACAACTCTGCCCAAGACTCTTCAGTTTAGCCTCAGGCAGATTCCTGCGACAAAGGCAAAAAAACAGTCACATTGTTTCCTAAAATATCACAAGGATGGTCTCTAGCCCAATTGCTAATATTGTTCCCTTCTGAAACCTTTTGGCCTCTAGTCTACACTACTCTTAGAGCTACTTTACTCCAATCCCTACTCGTATGGCCTGTTAAGCTCCACTTACAGCCTCTGCCACTTTTATAGTCCAGAGTCTTTTACAGTCCTCCAAATAACAGCATGATCAGGCCTTTCACTGCAGTACCCCATTTTGGGTACCAACTTCTATTTTAGTTACTTTTCTATTTCTGTGACAAAACCCCATGAAAATATGCAATATATAAGAGTTAAGGGCTTACAATTTCAGCGGATGACTCAATGACCACTGTGGTTGGGATCATGGCGGCAGGCAGGCACTCTCAGTAACTGAGAGCTTACATCTGATCAAACAGTCCAAGGCATAGAAAGGGACCTGGAAATGGAGTGGGCTCTTTAAACATCAAAGCCCACCTCCAGTGATATGCCTCCTCCAACAAGGCCACAGCTAATCCTTCCCAAACAGTTCCACCAGCTAGGGAACCAAGCACTCAAATATCTGAGGCTGTGGCTATCATTCTCATTCAAAACACCATACTCAACATGATTTTTTATACAACCCAGGACATCTACCTCCCCAGGGGTGGCACAGCACGCAGTAGGCCGAGCCTTTGCACATCAATCACTGAACAAGAAAATGTACCACAGAGATACCCATGGCCAGTCTGATGGAGGCATTTTCTCAGTTGAGGTTCCCTGTCAAGTTAATGTAATTAACCTCACATGTAACTAGTTCTTTGAGAATCTAATGTTTACAGCAATCACAGAAATGTATTTTTTACTGCCAGGTCAGTCTTGACTCCAAAGCTGATTTTAATTACCTTACTATACTGATCTGTTCCTTCCTATATCACAGCTACTTGATTGGATTTAAATAACTGAGTTTGAATGTGGTGTACTTAAAAAAACTACTATGCTGGAACTATACTAGGTTATCTGCCAATAGCCAGAATATGCCCAAATCCAGACTAAATCAAAGCTTTAAATGCAACATAAGCCAAATCAGATTAGACATTTGTATACTCATTAGGAGAATTAGATAAGCTGTTTAGTGCTGTTGGAATGCTAAGAACCAAAAATATCTTTCTACTCTTGAGACTGATAAAAAACCTCTTGTTATTCACAATAAACATCAAATTTGGAGTTTTTTAAAAAATTGGATTAATTGCAGTTAATATGAACACCTAAATTTGTCTTGGCTGAATGAATTCTAATTTAATATTCTCAATTGGCTGGTAAAAAAAAAAAAAAATTTCCAGTACTTTTTGGTCTAGGCAAGTATTCGTTTGTTCTCATGAAATCATTTTGAAATGTTGATCTCTGAATTTTATTTAGCACCACATTCTACGCAACTAATCTAACCAGCCAGCTGTAGGGCCTATGGATTGTAAAGGCATGCTTTGCTCCAGATCATTGGATAGAGGAAAGATTGATACAGTGCATTTAGAATCTTATCTTCCCTTTCATTTGTTTACAATCCATCTGTTGTGCTTCGCCAAGGTGGGCAATGGCAGAAGGTTATGGAGCTTGCTTAATAAACAAGCCGGAGCTCGTCCGCGATATGGTGAAGCAAGTGAGAAACCAAGTGGAAAATCCTAGATTTTCAGTTTCAATTAAAATAAGGTAAACATAATATTTCAATCTTCTGACAAGTTAATATATTACTTGGGAAGTTTAAAAATACTCCTTTTGTGTAGTGATGTGGAGGTGTCTAAGTAAATTTGAAGCTGGTATATGCAAATGTTGAAAAAATGTCTATCTAGCAAACAAACAAAAACCCCATTCTCAAATTTTAATCCTAATGAACACTATCCTCTTTTTAGTTCTTAACAAAAAGTAACACATTTTTAATTAAAAGACTTCACCAAAACCTGGGCTTTCTCCGTATGCTATTTAGCTAATGCTAAGAAACATCCGTAGTAACAACTAGAAAACAGGAAAGATACTTGCACCAAAATTTAACAATTAAAAGAAAAGAAGAAAAAAAACATGATTCCAATTTCAGAGGCCTGCACACCATGTGTTAGCATAACCTCTTTGTTCTTCTGTGGCAGTATGCTACTGACTCTTAATTTCTCAAAACCAAAAAGGAAAGGCAGTGGGGAAGGGAAAGACATTAGTCACCATATTGTTTACAGAAGTCATAACTGAAGTCAAGGTTCTGAATGTGAACTAATCCCTGAACAAAACCTTATTAACAGTAGCATGAAGTACTAATACAATATAGCAGATGAAGATTCTTAGTTAATTTAGCATTAAAGTCTGTATGTTATAAACAGCTGCAATATTGAAATTACAGGATCCATGATGACTTGACAAGAACTATAGATCTTTGTCGGAAGGCTGAAGCAACAGGGGTGTCCTGGATTACAGTCCATGGAAGAACAGTCGAAGAAAGACACCAACCAGTCCACTATGATGCCATTAAAATGATAAAGGAAAATGTGTCTATACCCATAGTTGCTAATGGAGACATAAGAAGCTTGAAAGAAGCAGAAAATGTATGGCACATGACTGGGACAGATGGTAAGAAATAAACACTGGGACTTTTTTTTATCATTTAATAAGGATGAAAAAATGAGGATGGGGAAATAATTTGATTTTGTGTTTAACACTGAACCATGATTATAATGCTGTCAGCTCTTCTTCTGACAGTGGATCATTTTAGAAGCAATGGCAGCATTTTGTTGGTACCATCATATCTACTGACCTGCAAATCATCTACAGCGGCCTATTTCTTTCTGTGTTTTTATCTTTAAAAAGCACCTAGAACACCACCATGGAGATGAGCAGTAATGAACTTTGGTGATCACAGGAGCCCCAGAATTGCCATGTAGTTTCAATACTTCTTACGTAATTAACTAGCCATTCCTATAATAACTGATGCTAGATGGACGTAAATAGATTCAACTTTAAGCAGCCCGATTTATGAAAACCTGGATGTCTCCTAAAGAAACAATAGAGCCAGTGAATTAATATAGATATCCTTAAAAAACATAGTTGCATAAGTACAATTGGCTTATCTGTGGCACCAGAATCAACTTACTTCTTATTGTATTACTGTAATTTCTAATAAGGGTATTCTGAAATAATGCTTTTTGATAAATAATCTTGCATTAAGTTTGAACTAATAACCATAGATTCTTAGTTTAAAGACAGATATGTTGTGCTTTAATTTGCAGGTGTGATGGTTGCAAGGGGACTTTTAGCAAACCCAGCTATGTTTGCTGGATATGAAGAGACCCCGCTGAAATGCATTTGGGACTGGGTTGACATCGCCCTTGAACTTGGAACTCCTTTTATGTGTTTCCATCAACATTTAATGTACATGATGGAAAAGATAACATCAAGACAGGAAAAAAGGGTCTTTAATGCTCTGTCAAGTACATCAGCAGTTCTGGACTATCTTACAGATCATTATGGTGTCTGACTCTGCTTTCTCAGTCATTGTAGTGTGAGGTTATACCTACATGGAACCACATGAGGCTGCACCCTCATATTTTTTTAAAGTCGGTGGCTTTTAACTTCAGTACCAGCAATTGCTGGGACCAGACATGGCAGCACACACTTTTAATGGAAGCACTCAGAAAGCTGAAGGAAGAGGTTTGGAAATTCTAGGCCAGCAAACCTCTGTCTCAAAGAACAAATGGAGTTTTCCATAGTTTTAAAAACTCAGCCGTGTGACTGGAGAAGTGATTCAGCAATTAAAGCACTGGCTGCACTTCCACAGGACCAAGAACCAATTTCCAGCTCCCAAGTGGCCAGTGACTACTGCCTATATCTCCAGTTCCAGGGGATCCAACACCCTCTTCGGGCACCAGCCAAGCACACAGTGAACAGACAAGCAAAAACTAATAATAATAATAATAATAAAATAGCCCCTATACCCTGAATTCCAGTTCAGTAGATCTTGAGTGAACCCAGAAGTAAAACTTTGCTTCTAATCTTTATGGATGTGGTGGGTGGATGGGTGTGAAATTTTTTTCTAAAGGTATTCTGTTTATAACTTTTATAAATAAAACTTTTTAATATCAAGAAGGTATGACTCATCTTTAAGTTAACAAGAAGTGAATTTTAATTTTTTGAAAGTTCAGGAGGTAGTAGAAAAAATGTCCACATGCATAAAAAAATGAAAAAGAACAAAAAATTCTGTGTAGAATTATATTGAGAGTATACATTAAAATTTTAAATTGGGAAATGAACTGCTACATTTCCTAATCATATATATATATACTTTAAGGTATTTAAGTTGTGTCTAACTGAATTTAGTTACATGTGATGTCAGCTGTAATTTAAAAGTAAGATTAGTGCCAACAAGAAGGCTCAGTGGGAAAAGGTGATTGCCTTGGCCAAGCCTGACAGCCTGAGTTCAATCCCTGGGACCCACATGGTAGAAGAAAAGAATCACTTCCACAAAGTTGTCTTCAGGCCTCCACACTTTCACCCAAGCACACAAATAATAAATAATGTTTTTTTAAAGTTTGAATGGGGCTCTTTGAGCGACAGCAAATTTAGTTCTTTTGAAGCTTTTTAGATTACAATGTTACTAATGAGCTGACCAGAGAGGATTCTTCGTTCTACCCATGTTGGTGGGTGAGAAACCTTTCCAGCACTGGCCTTGGCAGCATTTATATCCCTCAGTGTTTGACAGCAAGGAGCTAGCCATGGCAACAGCAGGTGGTGGTGCTCTAGTGTTAGGATTCTGATACAGGCCTCAAGGAACAGGGCCTTCTTCAATCCTGAGGTATCCAGTGTTAGAAGTCTGGTTAGTGTAGGTCTAGGAAATGCAGAGTCACCAACCTTTGACAGTAGCTATCATCACAGCTTTGGGTACCATGATTCCCAAGCCATGATTTTCCCAGCCTTGGATAATGACTTCTGTGACTAAGCTCCTTGGCCACTGAGACTTGACAGCTCTCTGGAACTCCAGCAGGTGCCAGGGTCTGCAGCTTTTCTCCGAATCTTCAGCCTCTGTCCAGCCTCAGCTCTTTACCCTTTTACCTGTTTCCACTGTTCTCGTGCCTGCCCTAGTCCCTGTGCCCAGCTGCTCAGCTACCTCTTGCTGCCATGACTGCCTCCACTGGAACAGCAACTCCTCCGTTTGCTGCTGGCTTCCCAGCCAGTGTTTATCGAGGATGTCAGAGCCACCACCAGCTGATCCCAGCTTCACCTGTACAGCTGCCACTTACAAGCTCAGCCCATTCAACCATTGAAGGCCTGGGGGAAAACTAGGTTGTTAAAGAGCTTGTAGCACAATCTTGAGGTCCCGAATGTGATCCATGTAAAAAAATACAGGTGTCAGGGATGGAGAGATGACCCAGTAAAAAGCACTTGCTCTTGAAGAAGGCCTGGTTTCAGTTCCTAGCATCCACAAACATCTGTAACTCCAGTTCTAGTGGATCTGACAGCCTCTTCTCTGTGGGCACCAGGCATGCATGTGGTTCATACACATACATGCAAACACTCACACATACACACAAATCTTTAAAAAATAATCAGTTGGATTGGCATACACTTGTAATCCTAGTGCTGGGGAGGCAGAGACAGAACTTTGGAGTGCAATGTCTAGACTAGTTTAATCTACAGGCCAATGAAAGACCCCCATCTTAAAATGCAAGATGGACATCTAAAGAGCAACACCCACGGCTAAACTCTGGTTTCCACACAAGGCGCATGAACACACACAAAAGTGAGCAAGAAAGGGCCACTCAGGAGAAGCCTGATTTGCCCTGTGTCTTTTGTGCTGCTTTACCAGAGAAGAAAGCACAAGAGGCTGTCCTCCAGGCTGCTTGAAAAGGAAGCCAAATAGCCTGCTCATACGGCTTGAGCAGTGTTTACACCAACCATGTCAGACCATGAAAAGAAAAAAATGGCTTGTACCAATAATGTCATCATTCCTGTTTCCCTAGTCACAGGGGCCCCTCTCCCAAGCCACTAGAAGTGCTCCCCTTTAGATCTGGGTGGGAAAGGCTCATTACAATTTCATAAACATCAAAAGAAAGGTTTAATAAGGACTTGTCATAATGGTGATTTTAACATTTTTAAATAAAGCTTACCACTTGACCAGCACCCCAAAGAGAGAAAGGTCCCTGAATCTCTCACTTAAAAAATTCACAATTCTAGGATGTAAACTTATACCTAAAAAGAAGAAAGTAACTGCAGACTTCTACGTAATATAAATGAAGAATCTGATAGCTAATGTGTAAATGAATGATAATGTGTTTTAAATTCTTCCTAAACTCAACTAAATGGGTCAGCAGCTAAAGCTAATTGGAGAGTAATCTGGCAGACCTGGGCTTGATCCCCAGAACTGTGTAAAGATGCAAAAGAAAACCTCTGACCTCTACACATGCTGTGGCACATACACGGCTCTCTCTCACACACACACACACACAATACACATCGCATACACACAATCATAATTTTTTTAATTTAATTAGAAGATAGTAACTAGGTTTTCATTTTAAACCAAAGTTTTATACTCTGTTTTTCATGATATTATTTTCATGGCTCAAATGATCCTAGGAAATATTTGTTTGGTTGGTTGGTTGGTTTTTCGAGATAGGCTTTCTCTTCGTAGCCTTGGCTGTTAGACCAAGCTGGCCTCAAACTCGCAAAGTTCTGCCTCCCTCTGTCTCCCCGGGTGCTATCAGATTTTTATTAATGAAGATTGTACATGGATGTTGCAGTAAACCCAACTCAGGACCCTTGGGGGCGGGGATGAAAAGGCGCAGAGTCAAGGACCCAGAGCCTGGAAGTCAGGAAAGAGGCGAGAGCAGACTTGCTTATGCAGAAATGAGGCTGACCTTTATACCCCCTCTGTGAGTTCCAGAAGAGCTCCGTGGCTCTTCTTCATTGGCTTGTGCTCCATCACCCGATATGCTGTCATCAATCTCTGGGCTCTTTGGCAGGCATGTTTGGCCTTAGTAGGAAGTCTTAACCACGCATGCGCATGTTGCTTAGTAGCAGGCCTTGCTCCTCCTGCATAAGGAAAGAAGTCTCTCTGGAGGAAATAAAACAGTTCAATACTAAAAATATTACGGAATGTCAAAACCAGGATGTCTATGAAGGCAAGAATTGTCTAAAACTGTTTAAGATCGTTGAGACCATGAATCGATTTTAACATGAGCATTGTGTTGCTATATTTTCTTGGGCACATTCTGTGCTCTCACTTTGCAGCTTATTCGGTTTTATAGATAGCTGGGTTTTTGTTGTTGTTGTAATAAATAAATAAGAAGATGAGGTCATCGTTTCTGGTATCTACAAATGAACTCTGAAGTGAATGAACACCGGTGCCAGTACCACAGCATGACTTGAGAGCTGTGGAATGTGGGAAAACAGCATGGAAGGGGAAAGACCAACCTCCTGTGGCTAATTTCCTGCAGACTTCTACATAATATAAATGAAGAATCTGGTAGCTAATGTGTAAATGAATGATAATGTGTTTTAAATTCTTCCTAAACTCAACTAAATGGGTCAGCAGGTAAAGCTAATTGGAGAGTAATCTGGAAGACTTCCAGATTACTTTTCTTCCTGTTACTCATAATCAGATGTGTTTGTGATAAAGTTTTTTAAATCATTGACTTAAATGCAGGGATTTTGTTCACTGGGGTTATGTTTTGTGCTGGGAATTGAACTTACAGCCTCATGTGTGCTAGGCAGTTTATTGACTACCACTAAGTCAATAAACCCAGCCCTGAAATGTAATCTGTGTTCTGCACTTAGCTATTTTTTATCATGTCATGTTCCCAGTACCATGGTATGCTGCAGCGCAGTGTTTTTCTTAGCAGTAAAAGGAGTAGGGGCTCAGATGGAACCTCACGCTGCTGCCTGTAGGGAATCTTTTCAGAGACCTCTACTTGGGTGAAACCAGAATTCTTGGCTGTGCCACAAAAAAAAAACGAATAATTTCAGGGATTTATTAAGCAGAATTGGAGTTTATTATTTTTTTGAGTTGGGATTCTCATATAGTCTCAGCCAAGCTTCATACCTGCTGCCCTTCTGGCTTCCAATTCCTGGATGACAGGTTTACGGGCATGTGCCACACAAGTGGTGGAGGAGGTGCTGGAGATCAAAGCCAGAGGGCCCACCCTACCAACTGAGCCCTGCTCTAGCTAAAGCTGGTTTATCAAGAAGAGGTTTTTGGTTTGTTTTATTTATTAGAGGTGCAAGCCTAGGGACTTGAGTTCAGATCCAAGGAACCAATGTAAAAGACAATGTGGTAGTGTGCACTTGTAGTCCCAGCACTGAGGAAGTAGAGCCAGGAGGATCTTGGGGTATCAGCAGCTAGCCTATCCAAAGAGGCGGAGGAAAAGGAAGAAGGAGGAGGGCAATCCCCTGCATCAAAGGCTTTCCCTTCCTGTAGTTGACATGAATGGACAACGACATTTTGTTAACTTGGCTAGAATTCATGACTCTCAGCAAGCGTAAGACTTCTACCAGACTCCAAGAGGCCTCTTTGCCTTCCTAGGTCACTTTATTATTTTTATTTTTTAAATCTCTATTCTGCCCTACTTTGTATTACATTCCTGAAATGTTGCAAATATTGAAAAAAATATATTTTAAGTGTATTCACATATGTTGAAAACCTGGAAGTGTTTGGAGTTCCCTCAAGGACAATTTTATTAGTTTGAAATAAAAAACCAACAGGGAAGGCAAAGAGATGGAGAAGAGGAAGAGACAAAAGTGATGCTTTTTGATTTAGGGTCCAATGACACTGCCTTGTTCAGAAATGGGGTCCACCAGCAGTTTAGGAAGAGGCACGCAGAGAATGAGAAAGCCCAACGTCGGGGAAAGCACTTTATTTAGGCTTTTGTCCATCGACTAAAGACAAAACAAACGGTTTATAAGTCTTGGGAAGTGTAGGTGCAGTATCTCACTGAAGGGATAATCATCCTCCCCACCTTCTTACCATGTCTCCAAGTGAACAGATTTCCTGGATAATGGACTCCTGGCCAGCTTAAGGGAGGAGACAATAGTGTGTAATGTTATCTTTGGAGCAGATAGAGATGTCAAGTCTCTACCTAGAGCAGGGATATTCCATTTTGACCAGGAGGCCTAAGGAGGGACGGTTGTTGGTTTTTTGTTTTTGTTTTTGTTTTTGTTTTCCTTCCAGTGTCACCAGGGAAACAGGAGGTGGAATGCAAAGTTTACCATGAGAAGACCACTCTCAATGGCTTCCATGGTCTATCTAGTAGTCACCTAACACAATATGGTTGGGTAAAGGGCTATGCCCTTACCCATCTTTTACTATCAGTCCCCAAACAGGTCCCTGAAGTTGCCTGATCTAACTATGGACAAAGAAAACAGGAAGCAAAACGCTGACGGTACAGAGTCCACAAACCCCTAGGCCTGGGTCTTAATTTAAACTTAGTTTAAATTGGGGCAGGGAGGTTGGCTGGACTTGACCCCGGCCTCGGCCGCATCTTGCCCGCCCTCCGGGAGGCCCGAGCCCGCGCGGAGGGGCCCGGGTCACCCCGCGTCCCGCACGCCCGCGCACCGGGAAACAGCGGTCGCGCCAGTGTGACCTCAGCGGGGCCCGGCGCGCTCCCGGCGGCGTGTCACGTGCGCGCGCGGACGGCGGGGCGCGCGGAGCGATCGGCGGCGGGTAAGCCGGGCGGCGGCCTCGCGGGGCAGCAAGCCGGAAGCTCGGGCCGGGGCGCCAGGCCGGCCGCTCGGGGCGCCGCGGGGCCGGGGGAGGGCCTAGGCGCCGGGCCGGCCAGCGCCGCCGCGTCACGCGGGGTTGGGCGAACTCCCAGCAGGCCTCGCGTGGGTGGCGGGCCGTTCACCCATGTTTCCGTGAAAGTGAAGCCTCTCTCTGTTTAGGTGTGAAGGAAACAAACCATGACAATCCAATGGGTGGCGGTTGTCAGCTTTCTTTATGCTGAAATAGGACTCATTCTAATCTTCTGCCTGCCCTTTATCCCTCCTCAGAGGTAGGAAACCTTCAGATCCTTAACGGTGCCAAATGTTTGATTCGCTTCTTCAGGCTGTTGCGGTGTGACGCTTCTCGTGGGCTTAGAAAGTTTTGAGAGGGCCTGCTGGATGGCTCGGTGGGTAAAGGTCGCTTGCTGCCAAGCGAAGGAATGTCAGTTCGATACCTGGAGCCCACATGGTGGAAAGGGAACCAACTCCACAAACATGTCTTCTGATCACCACACTTCCACCCTGGGATGCACGGAAACACACACACACACACACACACACACACACACACACACACACACACACGATACATACATTCATACATACAAACAATAGATAATTGAATAAATTGAGAATCAATATATAAAAGGTAGCCTTTAAAAATGAAGCTCAAATTGCCATCAGGTAACAGTATTAAAATACTACTTTATATAAAGCTTTACTATATGTACAAATTTGTACACATAATAAACAAAGATATAATAAAGCAGTGAAACTGGTTATGCCATGGACATCTGTCCTGTCTTGGTTTCATATGCTACCTAATTCCTTTTTTTCCTACCCTGGATTGGCTACCAAAATGTTAAATTGGGACAATAGAACGGTTTTTACAGACCAAACCTGTAAATGGTTCTTCGTTTGGGCCTTAAGAAACAATTTCATTAACAGTAATTTTACTTTCATTCCAGTCGAAATTAGTGGATGTGTGTCAAAATGCTGTAATGAAAGTGTCAGAACCGAACATTAGCATTGCTTCCTTAGTAAAGAACCTTCTACCTTCTTTAAAGTATGGAGTGTCCTGTAGACTCATAGAATGACTTTCCCTTGTAATAATTCCTGATCTGCTGTAGATCCAGGAACTTGGAATCGTGAATGGGGAACTTTATAATAATGATACTGCAAGGGATTTTGTTAAGCTTCTGATACAGAACAAAATCATGCATGGGATGCTAGAGACAGCACACTATTAAAAAACAAAAACAAAAACAAAAAAAACAGTGCTGGGACTAAAAGACTGGCTCAGGCTCTAAGCAGTGTTTTAAAACTCTTAGAATTCCTCATCTGCCTGGATCTCAACTCACCTCTATTCTTGTCTCCATTGCTTTTTCTCTCTTACAAGAAGAAAAGTAGTAAATCATGTAGTGGGGGGAGGGGTGTACCATGTTATTTTTACCAACCCATGGAGTCTATGGATCACATGCTTGAGGCCTGGAAAGGGTAAATGGCGTGACCTAAGTCACCTAACTGGTCTGTGTCAGCCTCTAGCTAAGATCCTTAGCTTTCATGAAGACACTGCTGTTCTGCTGTGTCTTTCTACCTCAGATTTCAAAAGCACATATGTTTTCTTTTTGGTAGTCCTTGTGACAGAGGCTTACATATTCAAGAGGTCATTTATAAATAAGGCTTAGAGATTTGAAAAAAATGTCATCAGGATTTATAGACCAGTTTTTTTCTTGGCATTTACAGTTTTGTACCCATCCTGATCTAGTAGCTATTATATGGAAGTATGACTGTGTACACATGATAAATATTCTCATATAAGAACATGTACATATGCACAGAAATCATCTGTCCCTCGCCACGTATTAATCCAGTGTGTGGCAACCATAGTCTTCAAAGAAAAGTCTTCATATAGTCTTCATTTAGTATATGTAGTCTTTTTTCTCCTATAATTCAGTGGTTGAAGGTAAGTATGTGCTCAGAAATAACTTTTTGTTTGAATTCTCCATGATATTATATGACCTTGTACAAATTATATACCTTCTCCAGTCAATTTTCCTAGTAATAGCAGTGTGTACTTCATAAAGTGGTGTGGTAATTAGATGAGATAGTGCATATGTTACAACAATTAATATATCAACTCAATAAATATTAGCTATTATCTGCTCTTAAATCAGTCTTACTGCAAGCTCCTAGCTGGACCCTTGAGGGGTTTCTACATTCCCTCTTTCATTGACTCTTAAAGAAGTAAATGAATTTACATTTGGACCTACATCAAGCTATTGTCATTTATATTCTTTTTTAGAAAATGTTTGTAATACTATATTTAAATAGTAGTGGTAAATTTAAATAGATAATTAATTTTTAAAAATGCTTTGAATTTGATCATAGAGGCAAAAACAACTGATTTATCTGTATCCAGTTTCTTCCCCTCAACCTGAAGTTATTGTTAATGGTTCTTTTGTATTAAAATTTGTCCTATCTTAAAGTAAAAATTTTAAGTTGTTCTTGTGAAGTATATTCACATGCTAATTACCTTTATAGCTCCTTTTGACTCAATGTTAAATTAGTCATTTAAAAAACTTGTGTACAATGTTTGACACCTTTTCAGTTATAGGATGGATTACTTTGTCCTACTTAGCCACTTGTAACTCATCATTTCTCGTGTCTGCGGCTTTGCTTATGCTGCTCAATCCAGACTATTTCCTCATCTCATTTCCTCTGGGTTCAGTCCTTGAGCAAGGTAATTTAAAAATTTTAGGAGTAGTTAGACATGTTAGGTTTTATCAAGATATATACTTAAGTTTGGCTTTTTTTTTTCATTTTACATATATGTCATATCTCAGTAATTTAAAATTTCTTTTTGGTTAAAGAAATTATTATACTTAGAGTAGATGGCAGAAGCACACCACATAAAAATAAGCTTGCCAAAGCCAAAAAAATGGTAGTACGTGCTTGTAACTGTAGCACTTGGCAAGCTAAAGCAGAAGGATTGCCACTTCAGAGCCAGGCTTGGCAAGTTCCATGCCAGCAAAGGCCGTATAGCTAGACCCTGTCTCAAATAAGTAAGTAGAGAATTAGGTGTTGAATTGTTAAATCAAAAAAACTTCATCGTTTCTGAGACAGTGCTCTAAGTAAGGAAAAAGAAATAGTTTCCATCAAAATTGTGACACTTTTAAGAATTTCTTTTTGGGCTAGTGAGATAGTTGAGTTGGTAAGTGCTTGCCGTACAAGCTCTAGCCCATGGGTTTGAGCCAGGCCTGGTTGCATAGGTTTATAATCCCAGCACTGGGGAGGCTAAAGCAGGCAGATAGTCACTCACCAGTCAGCTGGCCCCAATCAGAGAGCCTCAGGGTTTCTGGGTTTACTGGCTCTCAGCAAGGAGGAAAGGCTGGCTTCTGAGGAGCAGCACAGCAGGTTCGCCTCCACCCTCTACCCTGTAGAGTCTACAGGCATGCCTGCATGTGCACAAACCCACACCCCGTTTCTTTTTAAGGTTTTGCTCATCATGAAAAATAACTTACTTTAAAAGGTTTTTTTTTACTTTATTATTTTACTTTAAAAGTTATTTTCAGCCAGGCAGTAGTGGCACACACCTTTAATCCCAGCACTCAGGATGCAGAAGCAAATAAATCTCCTGAATTCGAGGACAGTCTGGTCTAGAGTTCCAGGACATCCAGGGCTGTACAGAGAAATCGTGTCTTGGAAAACTGCCGCCCTTTCCCCCCAAAAAGAAGTTATTTTCACTTTATAATATTTAAACTGTCAGACAAAAGATAATCAAATGTCATAGTATTTAATTAAAAGTAATTATTTTCTATTTCATGAGCTACTCTGTCAGGTCATAGGATTTATTAACTTTTAAAATTAAATGTCTGAAACCTTTATCATAATACTATCAAAATATTATGTCAGTATTTAAAAAACATTTCAAAACCTGCTCTTGGTTTGTTTGTTGTTTCTGGTTTGTTTGGTTTTTTTTTTTTTTTGTTTTTGTTTTTTGTTTTTTTAATCTAATCTAATTGTATTGCTTTACAGATGGCAGAAGATTTTTTCATTTAGTGTCTGGGGTAAAATTGCAAGTTGTTGGAACAAAGCTTTCCTTACCATTATAATCCTATTGATTGTTCTGTTTCTAGGTAGGTACTAAATTCCTCCTTTGAATCCAGTTCTATTAAAATAAATTGTCTGGGTTTTGTTTGGTTATGTTAATGTTATTGATATATTGAACGACAATTCATTTTATAGAGTGATATTAAGATAATTATGGCTGTTGTGTTACTTATTTGGTACTATTTCATATACACAAATTTCAGGTACAGTGACTCTTAACCTCTTTTAGATTCCTTTAAAGTTTAAATGCAGTAACACGCGGTCTTCTCTCCAGTTGCCAGATGATTACCAATTACAGTCTTTGTTATAGTGTTGTCCTGGCCACTCGGGCTTGGCCTGTATGAACAAATGAGTGGAATCAATAGATTCTTAAACAAGTGTGAGTTTTCACTGAAACCTGATTAAAAATAACAGCTTCAGTGGCTACTGCAAATTTTTTTAATATTAAATGAATTTTAGGTAATATTGGAGAATTTTTGCTTTAGTTGTATAGCAGTATTGTATAACATCTTAAATCTCTGGTTCAGAGGCCTATTTTTGTAAATACCATTTTATTGAAACATCACCATTCTTGCTTTATCATATGGTCTGTATAACTGGGCAACTCTTATAAAAGAAAACATTTAATTGGGGCTGGCTTACAGTTTCAGAGGTTCAGTCCGTTATCATCATAGTGGGAAGCATGACAGCATGCAGGCAGACGTGGTGCTGGAGGAGCCGAGAGTTCTACATCTTGACCTGCAGGCAACAGCAGGAGACTGTGTGCCACACTAGGCATAGCTTGAGCATAGGAGAGCTCAAAGCTGATCTCCACAGTGATACACCTCATCCAAGAAGGCCACACTTCCTAATAGTGCCACTCCCTTGGGTCAAGCATTCACACACATGAGTCTGTGGGGGCCAAACCTACTCAAAGCACCACATGGTCTATGCCTGTTTCCATAGACAACTCCAGAGTTTAGTATTGCGGCTGGTAAGCCCTAAAAATATCTATTGCCTATCCCTTTGTCTGAAACATTGGTTGTCTATCCCTTTGTTTAAAAACAAAGTTAGTAATAATTTTTACATAGAAATATGTTCTTAGTCTGAGAAGATGGATGCTGAAATATTTAGGCGAAAGCATCAGTGAGCCTTTGGATTGAAAAACTAAAGCAAATATAACAAAGTCTTCAAAATTTGAATCTATATGGTTTAGATTAGAGATGTGTACTGGATAGATAGAGCATCCCTAACTAAAAATTCTAAATCTAAAAATTTAAATATAAAGAATTGAAAAAATTTTAGCACCAGCATGCTGGCACAGGTGGAAAATTCCACCCCTCATTTTGTGTGATAGATTACAGTCCAAATCCAAGAGCAGTAAGGACATTGTTTGAAACTAACTTCAAGCTTATATCTATAAAGTATGTATAAAACATAAATGGATTTCATGTTTATATTTGAGTCACATTTTTAAGATTGCTTAATACACAGAAATTTCAAAGGTCTTAACACCAAAGGGGGGGGGGGAGCCTAAATCCAAGCACTTCTGATAACGAGCATTTTTCAGAAAATATGCCCAGCCTGAACAAGTTTTTCAGTAAATTTAAAATGTTCATGGTAATGAATGATACTGTTATGCCCGTATCGTGATACCCCCGAAAGACCACCGCCAGGAGTTGAGTCTGTTGCAAAACACATGAGGATCTTTTTATTACAAATCATTACGAGCTGCAGCTTGGGCTCACACTCTCCTCCACGAAGCAGTGAGAGCTGAGAGCTTTGTGCTCAGGTTAGGTGGGTGATTTAAAGAGTCCTCCTAGCATGCCCAAAGCAGGGGGATTCCTGCCTGGCAAGCATCTATTGGTCAAAACGCTGCATTTTGAATTGATTGGCTATAGGAAGGTCCCCAAACCATTAAAGATCTGGTGTCTCTCCCTAGGGGCTTGGGCCAGTTTCCTAGCAACTGTGAGTAGGGAAAGAATGCAGTAAGGTGAGTTCTTCCCCTCAGGGCATTACTGAATCTCTCCACCCAGCTAGTTCAGGCCTTAAACATTAAAATAGCCACCAATTTTTAATCTTTTTGGTCTCTTAATACTTCATAAAAGAGCTTTACAGTTTCCAAAACAGAAATTCTATGAGTCTTCATAATCACCCTGTTCTTTTAGAAATGACTGAGATCAGCAAGATCAGGTGACTTATCTAGGATCATCTACCCACTTCTGCAAGTGTCACTCCTTGCCACTTTAACCTTTACTATACATTGCAAAATATGTTTTCCCTAGGAACCTCCTCACAGCTCTCATGCTGTGGATTAACTGTGTTTACTGCACCAACTTGGAACCTTCACCATTATGTTTGATGTTTTACCCAAAAAATGTTTCATGTTCCAAACACCAGCCTTTAAAGAGTTGATCCTCTTTATAAAATGAGAGCATCCTTTTGGAAGGAGTACAGAATTAAGAAAAATAGGAAGGGAAGCTGGGCCTGGTGCACACCTCTAATCCCAGCACTCAGGAGGCAGAAGCAGAGCCTGGTAGATAGATCTCTGTGAGTTCCAGGACAGCCAGAGTTGCATAAGGAGCCCCGTCTCAAAAACAAACAAGACGGGAATTGTATCCTTGAATGGATTTTTATCTCACTTGAAAACGTCAATATTTGTCATGCTATTTTATTAATGTTATATATGAAATCTCCATCCAATGTTATATATGAAATCTAGAAGTAGAGAAAACTAATCACTAATGAGCCACCAACTACCTGAATAACTCTGGAGTGGCATTTTGTCTCTCTTGGTTTGATAAGTCTATCTGTGAAATAAAATAATAAGAAATAAGCTGTGTACTGTGTGGTGCACGCCTGTAATCCCAGCACTCTGAGAGATAGAAGCAGGCAGCTCTCTGTGAGTTTAAGAACAGCCTGGTCTACAGAGTGAGACCAGGACAACCAAAGCTACACAGAGAAACCATGTCTCGAAAACAAAACAAAACAAAAAGAAATAACCTCAACTCTATAAGAGTTATTAAAATGCTGAAAGCTATATCTGTGTAAGAATAGAGAACCATAGCAGATTGTTTTGCCTACATTTCTCAGAAACCAGCTTGTCCTCACTTGAGCAAGGAAGAACAATTGAAAAAAGAAAAAAGAATTTACAACAAAATAGAAGTTGTTTCAGTGAAGTACAGGGGAAGAAGGAAGCCAGATTCCAAGGAGGAACTAGTATTAGTAATTGAAGTACCCTTTCCATCTCTGCCTGTCTATTCACTTCTAATCTTATCTCTGCTCTGGTAGAAAATGCACCACACAGCTGCCAGTAACCCATGTGCAAATGTTAATTATCCAGCATGGTGATGCATGCCTTAAATCCCAGAGCTTGAACTTTGTGAGTTCAAGGCCAGCCTTGTCTGTAGAGCAAGTTCCGGGACAGTCAAGGCTACATAAAGAAATTATATATATATATATAATATATATATAATATATATTATAACAAAAACCCCTACCTTTGTTTATACTGCAAAACAGAGCAAATTATCTAGTATGCTTAATGGTATTGGAATAAAGATCTTTCAGTAAAAGAAATCGCATACAAATGTAAGGTGATGAAATGAGACATTATTATGCAGTGCTTTTTTGGGGTTTTACTTTGGAATGATAGAAATATGACACTATTCAGAGATAGTAGCTGTGAACTATTGTGAAGTAAATGCAACATAGTTTGAATCACATCTGTGCAAATAGAAGTTTCAATGTAATAGAATAGTTCTGAAGTCTCAGTTATTTAAATAATAAAGAGTGTAATAGGATGCTAGCACTTTAAGAGAAGTGGGATTGTATCTGTCACTAGCAGCAGGTTGAATTTTAGTCATGCATAGAATCAGAAGGAGTAAGAGATAATATTTCACATTAGATCAAGATTTGCCAGATAATGAGTAAGTCCCAGGAGAATGATTTTAAAAGTCTGTAGTAATGATTCATAAATTGCTGCTGCTATCTATTTACAATATTCCATCTATGGGCACAATATGTTGTCATATACTAAAGAGGGACAGACAGACAAAAGCCATATTTAAAGTTCGTTATTTTAAAAGTTGGTAAGTTATTCTACAACCCCTTCTTGTTTAAAATATCTTTTCTTAAAAACCAAAAGTAATAGACATGGTGGCACACCTTTAATCCCAGAACTCAGGAGGCAGAGGCAGGTGGGTCTCCATGAATTCACAGTGAGCCTGGTCTACAGAGTGAGTTCCAAGACAGCAAGGGCTGCACAGAGAAATTCTGTCTCGAAAAACAAACAAACAAAACACCAAAAGTAATGTTCTTTCTTCTGTAACAGATGCTGTGAGAGAAGTAAGGAGGTATTCCTCCAGTCATGTCGTTGAGAAGAACGCAGATGGCAGACCTAGTGCCTATGAGCACACACAGATGAAGCTCTTCAGGTCCCAAAGAAATCTTTATATTTCTGGATTCTCATTATTTTTTTGGCTGTAAGTAAAAAAAAAAGTACAAGCACATTTTAGTATTCATGCAGTTCTCTTTTTAAAAGTTTTTTTTTCCATTTACACTAAGAGCTTTTCATTATTATCTTCATAAAATAATGCAAATGATATACTCAAATAGCAAATAATAGCCACACTGAAGAAGGCTGGGAATGGCCTTCTGAAGAAGAGCACACCATTTGGTTGTCCAGTGTCAAATGGTCAGCCCTGAAAACACACATACAGGTAGCATTATACAGACTGAACAGGTTATATTTAGGAATATATGTGTGTGTACATGCAATAACAATTAACTAAAAGGGGGACATGAATTTGAAGGAGAATTGGGAGAGGCATGTAGGAGAGTTTGGAAGGAGGACAGGGAAGGGAGAAATGTAATTAAATTATAATCTCAAAAAAAAGTTACAGTTTGTTGATCTGCTGGCTGCAAAGGGCCTTGAATGATCTGGTTGCTGACTGTTCTCTAATACATATAGTACATTTCGTTCCCACTCTCCTTTACTGTACTTTCTTGCAAAAGGTATTTATTGAATTTATTAAATATCTTTGTCCTTCCCACTTTGAGTCATCATATAAGCTATTCTTCTAGAAAACTGTTCCCCCATCCTTTTTTTGTTTTATGTTTGTTTTCTAGTGGTTGAACATCTTTTTTTAGGGGTAAGGAAACACGTAAGTACAGCAGGCACACAGGGATACAGACATTTCACAAAGCAGGTTGATGGGGGAGGACCTAGGAGACTGAAGCCCTGTTTGTTTCTTTTTGAGACAGGGTCTCACTATGTAACCCTGGCTGGCCTGGAACTTGCTATGTAAACCAGGCTGACTTTTAACTCACAGAGATCTGAGGTGTCTGCGTCTTGAGTACTGGGATTAAAGGTTTACCTGACCATACCTGGCCTTCTCTTTTTTATTTAACTTTTACTTATCTTTTAATTTCCTTCTCAAAGGAGCCTTGTGGCCATCATTTCCTTCAAAGTATGCAGGTATTCTGGTAAGTCTATACTATGACTTCTAGTGTCATTCACAATTATAATTAAATGCTGTTTATATCTCCAACTCGAAGCCAGCCATTGTGGCTCATGCCTTTAATTGCAACACTTGGGAGGCAGAGGTAGGTAGACGTCTGAGTTTGACACCAGCCTGGTCTACATAATAAGTTCCAGGACAGCCGGAGATATAGAGTAAGATGCTATCTCAAAAACAACAAAAATAACTATCCATAAAAAAGTAAATATATATCTCCAACTAGACTTAAACTTGAAGGCAAGAACTAAGTTCATTTTCAGCTATGGCTGTAATACCTAACATAGTAGTTCCTTAGTAAATAGCTGCTGAAAGAATAATTAAAGGGATTATTTTTATTATCTGACAGTAGGAGTTACCTGTAAACATGTCTGTGTTCATTTTTTTAGACTTAACCACCCTTACAAAATGATCTTTAAACTGCAAATTTCAAACTAGACCCCCCCAAAAAAAGATTTTCTTGCTACCCTTGTAATGCCATCTAAAATTCCATTTTACAGTGGGGCAGTGGCTCACATCTTTAATCCCAACACTCGGAAGGCAGAGGCAGGTGAATCTCTTGTGTTCCAGGCTGGCCTGGTCTACAGAGTGAGTTCCAGGATAGCCAGAGATACGTCGAGAAACGCTGTGAAAAAATTTAATTGAAATTTCAGTTTTCTCCTTTAGGCTTATGGCTTATAAATGGAAAATGAATAACACTGTGTACAAGAGGCTGTAAGATGCTGATGCATCTGTGTGGGTTTTTTTTTTTAACTTTTTATTGATACTTTGTGAATTTCACATCATGCATCCCAATCCCACTCATCTCCCTGTCCCTTTATATCTGAACTCCACCCTTGCAACCTCCCCCCAAAAAAAGAAAAGAAGATAGATTTTTTTTTTTTAAATCTCATCATGAAAGTTGTAGTGTGTCACAATGTGCCCCATTGTGTACACTTTTTTGTCCACATATTTTTTAACTGTTTCTTTTAACTGACAGACTTGGGTAGCACAAAGAAAATGTTCCCTTTAAACATCCCCTCCACCACGTCTCTAGACCTAACAGGAGTTATCTGACAATGGCTATTTGTGTTAAAGTCAGAGTTCCCGATGGTTAATCTAGTTACACATTATTCTGAACTTCATTTGTTTTTTTGTTTTTTTTTTCCCCTCAGAGTGTTGAGACGTCTGGTTACGCTTATTACTCAGCTGGCAAAAGAAATAGCAAACAAAGGAGTGCTTAAAACTCAAGCAGAAAATACCACTAAGGCTGCCAAGAAATTCATGGAAGAGAATGAAAAACTAAAATGGGTATTTAATTTTCTTTGTAAAAAAAATAAGTATAAATGCTCTTAATATTCACAAGGAGTAATTTACTATTTTAACATCAAAAATAGCATTTTCATAACTTATCAGGAGAAAATGGCACAGAACATGGCACTGTTCTATGGAATGATTCTTTTGTTTTGTTTTGTTTTTTCAAGAAACTCCCTGTAGATGAAACTGGCCTTGAACTCAGAGATCTGTCTACCTCTGCCTCTTGAGTGCTGGGTTAAAAATGTGTGCCACCACTGCCTGCTGATTACTATTCTGTAGGGTTGCTTGCTTCCATACTTTGCCTAAATACAAATTAATAACAGTGGTCCTGTTTCTATGATTCGAGAAGGAAACGTGGGGAGCATGCATATTTCAATTTTTTTGTAATTAAATGTCTTCCTTAACAATTTCATTTATGTAAGTAGTACATTCTATTTACTCTCACTCCTGCCCCTACTTATCCCCTCCCACCCATACCAACTCTCTGTCCCCTGAACAGGTCACTTTCCACATTCATATCATTTTGTTTTGAGCTTATCTAAAGCCTTCTGTGACCATGGAATTGGAACTATCCATTCTAGCTCAGTGGGTTCACTACTGGGTACACAACTGATGATAATGACTCCCCCTCATTGAGAATCTCTCCATAGTCAGTAGTTCAGCTGGGAGGGGTAGGGCCCTATGGCCATCCATGACTGTCTGTTGACAAGGGCCAATCTTGTGCAAGTCCAATGCAAATAAACACAGCTTTTGTAAGTTCAACATTACAATGGCTAAGTCATTCAAGATACGGCATCTTATAGCCATTCTTGGATTAAAAATTTGAAGTCCTCTATTACCATTACTTTTGCTTTGTAACCTAAATTAAATCTTTATAATTCTGTGCTCATTTCTCTTTCAGTTAAAGTATGACTTATTTTATGGGAAGTAGTGAGAAATTAATTGAGACTATATTGATGATTTCACATAATTTTTAAAGCCTTTTTACAAATCTTCTGTTATGCAGGGAATGTGTGTATGTCAAATACTGAGGTTTGCCCTATTGGCAAAAAAAAAAAAAGAGAAAAATGAAACACAAAATTATTTTGAATTTTAAAATCTGATGATCTTATAGATTCAGTGTTTCAGCTCATATTACTCAATTATTATTATTATTATTATTATTATTATTATTATTAATTATTATTAGTCTTGCTGAATCTAGTTCTTAGAAAAAAATGATACTGAAACTATTAATAAATGAAACATTTTCTGGGGGAAAGTGCTTTTGTAATCATGCATTAAGATTATTTCTCTATTGCAATAAGAAATCTAGTCTTCACATTACACCGAGTTACTGTCATGTTCAGCAATAGAGACTGAAAATCCTAAGCTCAGTCTTAAAGCCAAGCCTTAAAGACCCGTCTGCAGGCACCACTTTCCATCAGTTGGAAGTCAGACAGCTATCATGTGGCCAATAGAAAGAGTTCTGTGACCTTCTCAGTTAGGCAAAACTCATTTTCAGCTATTCATAACTTCTATCTTACTTTTTCTGTTATTTGCTTTGCTTAGATGGTAATTTAAAAAAAAAAGGTAGGGGTAGGGGGCTACAGCTGGGATACAAAGTGAATAAACTGTAATTAATATAAAAAATAAAATATTAATTTAAAAAATGGTAGGGAAAGACCTCTTTTCATAGAAACAGAATTTTAAAAAATGCCTCTTTAGGAATAGATTGTTATTAGCATCTTTTATGGAAACAGCATGTTAAAAACAGTTTACGTTTTACTTTGTTTTGTATGAGTCAAACTCAGGTACCAGGCTAACACAGTAAGTGCTTTTACCCACTGAGCCATCTCATCAACCTTTATTCTGTTTTAAAACAGCATTGATCCATTGATGATTTCTGTACTTCCTCTTTTACTGATATTGTTCTATAGAAGTCAAGATGTGGCTATTGGTCTGTATTTAAAAGCTAGTCATATGTACTTTTTGCTTTTTTATGTGGGAGATGTTTGTTTCAGCAGCACAATCAATTGCATTTTGTACTTTAATATTGTTTGCTTAATTTTTTACCTTTTGATCTCATTTCCCAATGGTAAATTAAAACCTAAAATATGATGATTAAATTCAAAAGCCTCAGCTTTGTATTTACAAAAAGGCTTTCATCTATCCTATTGCTTTGAAATTATGCCATCATCTTAGAGTAAAGAATTATAACTACTGTTATGGCACACACCCTGTTTCAGTTGTTTTCCTCCTAATCTTGTACTGTAAGCAGACAGTATTTTATAAAGTTTTTTATAAGATAACTTTTCACATATACATCATAACTAATGGAGTTAAATTAGTTCTGTCCTTCAAAGCATCACTTCTTTAAGAGATTTTTGGAACTCTTCTTTTGGAATTATTTTCAAAGCCAGGCACTAATGGTAGGAAACCTATTACCTGCTTGCTGATTCCTGTGCCTCCCACGATTTCATATTCCCCCCTCTTTTGGTTTCATGGTGTTTTGGTTCCCTGCTTGCTGTATAGCTCTGACCAGTCAGTGGTCCTAGATCATTAGAAGAGACAGTGGTAGTCTAGATTATTAGATGTGCCGTGCTAAAGCTAGTAGAAGCAAGAAGGGAGTCTGTGAACTGTGCAAGTCCTTTCAGTACTCAGAATGTAACAAATAGACTGCCAATGTGATCAATTAAAGCCATAGGTGAGACTGTAAGAAAAGCTTTTATTTCACAGTATACCTTGTGGGCTTTGAAATATTAAAGAATGATAAAATTGCTAAAATACCTCTTTGTTCCATAAGGAAGAATATTATTTAGCAGAAAATATATAATGCTGAGATTCAGAAACTTTCAATTGGGCGCTGATTTCAGCACTGCAGTAATTACCAGTGTGATCTAGGGCAAGGCACTTCATAGGTTCTGAATGTCAAGGTTCTATGGCTATAAATAATAGTTACCACTATGCCAAAATGTCAGTTCAAGTGCTTCACAGTAAGATAATAAATCCTAATTATTGAACAATCCCATGAGGTTTGTATTGTCTGCGTTTTATAGCTGAGAAAACGGAGAGAGAAAGGGTAATTAAAAAAAAAATAGAGTACAGGAAGTTTGAGGCTATGCCTCCTGACTGTAGCCTCCACATTTACAATCATGTTTTTGTCCCCCCAACTCCTGTGTTGTCCTATGAAAATGATGCCTACGTGGTGCCCAAGGCCCATTTCTCTTCTAATAATTCAATTAAAGAAATGAAATAATTATGAAAGAGCAGCTAACTTTATTTGTTTTTCAAGACAGATTGTTTTAACGTAGCCCAAGCTGTCTATGAAATCACAACATTCCGCCTGGAGAGAAGGCACCCTGGTTAAGAACACTTGCTGCTTTTCCCTGGGACCCTGGGTTCCGTTCCCAGGATCCACATAGTGCCTCACAAGCATCTGTAACTCTAGTTCCAAGGGATCTGATACCCTCTTCTGGCCAGTACACATGGTACAAAGACAGACATGCAGACAAAACACTCATACACATAAAAATAAATACATCTTTTAGAAAGTGAGAAAGAAAAAAAGGAAATCAGAATTCTCTTGCCTCAGCTTATCACCCACTTGCTGATAATGCAGATGTGTGCCTCCATGCTTTGCTCTCATTTAATTTTAACTGAAGCGTTTTAACATGGCAGCATGACGTTCTATGTCTCACGGACCTTTATTCTCACCTGCGTCCTGGAGCGGATTAGAGTGGGTAGATACTGAAGACTTGCACTCTTGTAGCTGGGAGCTGTTGAGTTGCCAAGGCCTCTTGATCTTTCTCCAACATGAAATTAAGGATAATAAATTGGAGCAGTTTTACAGGTGCAGTAATGAAATCTTATTTACAAGACTGCCACACATCCAGCTTTTCCAAGTTAGTGGCATAAATAATTCAAGCAGTCACTGTAAACATTCCTACAGCTCAGTGGTTCCTTTCCGATTTTGGTAATCACCCCCACTGCAGTAATCTCTAAGGTGAGCTTTATGTTTTCAAAACTTTTCCAACTTTACAAATATAGCTTTTTTTTTTTTCTAGGCTAAATTGTTTTGGACTTGAAGTCAGCAACAAATTAAAAAAGGCTTGGAGAAATTCTCATCCTGCTTTCTTTTAGAGACAACTTTTTTGATTCTAAAGGATCTGATGCTCTTTCCATTTCAGAGTTTGCTTCACTTCTCTAGTCGCTTAAGTGCTATTTAAGGTAGTGTGTGCACTAGAGCTTCAGTTTTCCTCGGAACTGCCTGCCCCTATCCAGCATGGTGGCGTCATGCTTGTTCTTCCTCCAGCCTCATGCTCCTGCTTTTTCTTCCAATTAGATGAACACTACCAAACAAAGAATAGAGACCATATTTCTCTTACATTTTATCTCTTATAACATCTTTTATGCTAAATGCGTGCATCCACTCACAGCTCACTAGATTTTGTGAGATTTGTCTATTAAATGTATCCACTCTTAACTGAGGAAGGCGGTCACATTGAATTTGAAACCATAATTTTAATTATAGCCCAATTGGAAATTCTTACTTTCATCTCAGAGACATCATCCATAATAATAGCAAATCTTTTTGTTTTGTTTTGTTTTTAAGACAGGATTTCTCTGTGTAGTTTTACATGTCGTGGAATTCACTCTGTAGACCAAGCTGGCCTTGAACTCACAGAGATCCACCTTTCTCTGCCTCCCAAGTGCTGGGATTAAAGGTGTGTACCACCACCTCCAAGCTATAATCAATAATTTTAAAGAATATTTTAAAATTACATGTTTATGTGTGTCTTTGTGTCTGTTGTAGTTATATGCCTGTAAGTGCAGTTACATACAAAGGTCAGAAGCCTTGGATTCCCCTTGAGCTAGATTTACAGGGAGTTGTGAGTTGCCCAACATGGATGCTGGGAATCAAACTCAGGTCCTGTGCAAAAGCATATGTCACCTTAACAGCTGAACAACATTTTGTGTTTTTGCTAGCTACCAAGTTTTTTTTTAGTAAAATCACTTTATAAAAAAAAGTTAAATACTTAAAAAGACAAATTTAACTAAAGACAAATAATTTTCATTTTTTCAAAAGATGCCTAACTGTTGCAATCTAAGATTTCTTCCTATAACTTTTTGTGATAGGTGCTAAAAAACCAAGGCAAGGATGAAGAAAACATTTTGGAAACTGAAAATAAAAAACTAATAGAAGACCAGGAAAAACTGAAAACTGAATTGAAGAAGGCATCAGATGGTAATTTTGTGTGCATGTGAAAAGGGAAAGGACTACCAGATATTTTATGCTGTCATATACACCTCATTGTTTTACTTTAAACAAAACTAAATGACCTCTGGCCAAGCTCTGAGAATGACTTATTTATAAACTTGTGTTTAAATATGAGATTAAAACATTGTGCCAAGATAAACATGTTCTGTTATGCAGAAAAACATGTAGGTGTTTCAGATTTGTGTTGTAAATACAAATGTCCTTGCCTCAGCAAAAGAGCTATGGGCTTGAAAACTTTCTTGTAAACATAGTTTTGTAAAATGAAACACGTTTGCTTACCTTAAGGCCTAACGTTTCCAGCACACTAAGTTTAAATTTTTAAAGAATTTTTGAGAAAGACAGTATCAATCTGGGATATCAGTTGAGAAATTGAGGTTTCATGCCAAAGTACATTGCATTGTAGGTTCAGAGTGGGACATCCTAAATTTAAGTCCGTGAAGGTAACTGTTCCTGCACTAAAAATGCTCTGATTGTTGTTAGTATCAGTGTTAGTACTACATAATATAGTAAAGTAGATATTCCAAATCCATTGTCATTCTGACAAACTCTTGGAGTGTGTGTAGCTTGACCCCTGGCAATATATCTGCATAAGGAAGCAGATAATGTTTGACGTTGGCCAGACACAGGAAGCATATCAGGTATTCATGGTTAAGATTGTTGGATAAGGTGATGATGAATGCATAGGTCTTCTCCAATTTCAAATCTCTTCCATTACTTTAGGTTGAAGGTAAATAGGATTTGATTCAGCGACTAAATCAAAGACCTACTTGAAATAATTATGAGTTTAGGTTTTCTTTAAGCTACAATCAGCATAATAAAAGTTCTCTGGAATATCACTTGCTCTTCTTAAAAATCTATTTACATTATTTGGATAGGATTTATTTCATGAAGGTATGTTTGAATTTTAAATTGAAATTCCAAAGATAAAAGCTAATTCTATAAACAGAAATACAGATGAGGAGATATTTCGTGTGATACAAAATTCTTTAGTCACTTTACTGTTTCCTTTGATTTTTTTTATGTGTTTGAGTATTTTGCCGCATATATGCCTATGCATGACATCTGTGCCTGATGCTCTCAGAGCCCAAAGAGGGCATCAGATGACCTGAGAATGGAGTTACAACAGTTGTGAGCTGCCACGCGGATGCTACGAACTGGACCCATATTCTCTGGAAGAGAAGCCAGTGCTCGTAATCACTGAGACATCTCATCAAACCCTATAATTTATTTAAATTTAAGAAATAAAATAAAAGCAGCAGGCAAAAAGAGCTTAGAATTAGTGAATGGAAATTTCAAAGTACCCTTCTCGAGATTGTTTGGTATAGACAGGCTTGGTAGCATAAAAATGTCTCAAAAAAAAAAAAAAAATTCAGTCAGTAAAGTGTTTGTCAAGCAAGAAGAAGAACCTGAAGCTGGGCATAATGACAAATACCTTTAATCTCTCAACACTTGGGAGGAAGAGACAGTCAGGTGTCTGTGAGTTTGAGGCCAGCATGATCTACATAACGAGTTCCAGGACTGATAGGACTACATTCTGTCTTGGAAACAAACAAACAAAAAAGGATGAGGCTTGAGCTCAAACCCCAGCAGTTATGTTAAAGCCAGCATAGTGACAGTTAACCATAGTTGGAGCTATGTATGGGGAAGCAAAGACAGGAGGATCTCTGGATTGCTGGCCAGCCAGTCTTGTGTGATCAGTGAGCAACCAGGTTAAGTGCACCCAGATCAGTAACTAAGTAAGTGTAAAAAGGACAAGTAGATCTTGCAGAATGGTTCAGCAGTAAAAGTATTTGCTGCCACCACTGACTACCTGAGATGGATCCCAAGACCCACATGGTAAAAAGAATCCCTTAGGTTGTCCTTTGACCTCCACATCTGTGCCTGCAAATTCTCTATCTCTCTATCTATCTCTCTCTCTTGTTCTCTTTCTCATTCTTGTTCTTTCTCTCTCCCTCTCTTGCTCTCTCTCTGTCACACACACATATTAAATAAAAATAAATAAATGTAATGTTTTCCAAAGGCAAAAATAGATGGCATTCTTATTATTTCTAATCAATTTAGTTTCTTCTTCCTTTGCCATTCAAAATTTACAATTAATGCTTCACAGAAATGGGACATGAGGAAGGCCTAAGTGTTGAGGACATTCTCAGTCAGGTCAAGAGCCTCAAGGGGAGGAGGGGCTGAAGAGATGGCTCAAAGGTTAAGAGCACTGGCTGTATATCCAAAGGTCCTGAGTTCAACTCCTAGCAACATATGGTGGCTCATAACCATTTATAATGAGATCTAGTGCCCTCTTCTGACATGCAGGCATACATTCAGGCATAATACTGTATAAATAATAAATATATTTTAAATAATGAGGTGTGGCTGTAGCTGTTACAAAGTGAATTAACTATAATTAATTAAAAAAAATTTTTTAAAAAGAGCCTCAAGAGGGATGTTCAGAATTCAAAATAAAATTTAAAAAACATTTACAAACCTGAGGTACTTTGAACTTTAGCTTCTTAATCCTGATATAAAACCAAGCTCAATATTACTTCAGTATTTAACAAAAAGCTTGGGTGTTTGGAGAAAATGAGCTCTTTAATAATATAGCCATTGTGTTTATAATCTGATAACAAGATATGGCAGTCCTGTGTTTGAAATGTAGACTGTCTAACTACTTTCAAAGAGAGTCAGTGTTGAAGTCAAAGCAGACTTTACCTGTTTGAATGTGTCCTGTTTGGTTCCTGCAAGATGTGTAATATTTTATGAACACATTTCATTAATGTGCAGTCCTTTTTTAGGTAACATTCTTAATGACCTTGAAAAGCTCAAAAGGTCTGTTGCAGAGATATTTCTTTGGCTGTTTTTATGACTTATACCAGACAAATTCATGTAGGCAAGACTATGAAACTATATCAGCTGATAAAGTTTTATATGATTTTAACAGTACAATGCTTGACATACCAATTCATCAAATACTCATTTTTTTTTCTAGAAATTAAGGGTATTACAGGGACAATGCTTAAAGAGTGTTTCAGCATGATCTTTTAGATTTGAAAGCCAAGTAAAAGCAATGTCATTTTTCTTTTATAGGATGTTTCCCAAAGGTATTTTCTTTTGTGCTTCTGTGGTCCGCCCTAAATATTTTCTCCAAAGTTGTTAGTGAAAATAAAGTATTAAATATAAAGGTTTATTTAAACTAATATTAGCACCAAATTGGAAAAGTAGTGTTTCTTAGGAAGTTATTTAGAACACTGTGCCAGGGGCTGGAGAAATGATTCAGCAGTTTCTAGTGCTTACTTCTTGACTGGAGAGATGGCATAGTGTTAGGAGTTTGAACCAGCACTGACACGGCAGCTTACAATTTTATGTGATTCCAGTTCCAAAGTATCTTATGCCCTTTTCTAACCTCCACAGGCTTCTACTTACACATAGCTATATACATACACACAGGCACACACATAAAGTAAATATTTTTAAAGAATACTTTATTAGTAATAGTACATGTTCTACCAATTTTTAATCTCTGGCCCAGATTTTGACCAATTAGTAAACTATTTCTGTGTTTTAATGCAGTAATATCATTTAAGAGATGAGAAGAGAGCATATATATCCCAGAGCACCTAATTTATACTCAAGACTACCTAGCCAGGTGCGAGGATCTATCTGTCACTTTAATAATCCTTTTTACAATAAGTCTGATATCCCAGTGTGGTAAGTAATTGGGGAAGGGCATTGTCATGAAAAATCAAGTCCTAAGTGGTAAGGAATTTATAAAGCTTATAAGAATTCATAATAGAAATAGACCTGTGCTATAGAAAACCTGCTCTTGAAAAGACTGACTTAAAGACCCTTCCAGGATGATTAGTAGTACTTGTTCCTACAACTGAATCTTTTCCTCAGTGTTTCTTCTTAAAGATAGAGGAAACATGCACCACCCAAATATTGACTACATCTAGACAATGGTAAGGGGCTTATCTGGAAATTACAATACTTGTTCCTCATTCCTTTAAGAACAGGATTATCCTGGGCTTGGTGCACACCTTTAACCCAACAGCTGGAGAGGCAGAGGCAGGTGGATCTCTGAGAATTCAAAATCAGCCTGGTCTACAAAGTTTCAGGCTAGCCAAAGCTATACTAAGACACCCCTGACTCCAAAAGCAAAGCAGATGAAGAGGATTACATTTGTAACATGCATTATTTAAAAAGAAATTCTTAGGGCTGCCAGCCTTAGAACAAAGGTTATCTAGCAGTGTATGTCTCCTTCAAAAGGAATCTGGGAGAAAGAGTGGGGGCCTGTGATTCCAGCATTACAAGCAATTACAACAAATTTTAAAGAATTGTAAAAAATTTAAAGAATTTTTCAAAACATGCTTTATAAATCATTAACACTTTTCTTTAAAAATATACCTGTTGTAAGGCATGGGGACACTCACCTAAAAACCCAGCACTTTAGTGGCTAGGGACAAAAGAATTATGTGTTTGAGGCATCTAGGCTACATAGCAAGACCCTAGTTCAAAAAGAAAAAAAGTATACCTATAAGGGAAAAACAAATGTTTAATGAATTGTCTAAATAAAGCATGTATAAATAGCTCAGAGACTAAGTGTACAAAACTGTTATGTGTACCTAAGTGCTGGCAGCACGAAATAAGGACTTTTTTTTACCCTATTTAAAATACTATTAATTGAACTATCTTCCTGGGTGAATGTGTCTCTATTACCTTGCCATACCTTGAAGAAAAAAAGTAAAATTTTATTTCATAGAAATTTTACAACCTTGAAATATATTTCTTTAATTTTTTCATCAGTAGTAAGTATACAACATAGAAACTAAGACTAAAACAAGTGTTTTTCAATAGAAATTGAAAATCAGAACCAAATGTAGAATCACAGGACACTTGTATTGTGTGCAGCCGAATTTCTATGTTCCTGCCTGAGCTCTAAGAATAATAGAAGCTTTTATGCAAACTTAAATTACAGGATTTCCAGTTCTGCCAAATAAACCATATATCTTTCTAAAATTAAATTCTCCAAGTCTAATCTATGTATATTTTTAGTAATAAAATTATTGTGGACCTGAATAATTAATTTAACTATCCTTTCTTTTCCTTTTCTTCTGGTAGTTTTTTTGAGATACTATCTTAAGTACCTAAGGCCGGCCTGTAATTCCTGATCTTCCTGCCTCAACCCTTGTAAGTCCTGGGGTTTGCAGCCACAGATAATATGCCTTGCAAACTTAGTTATCTAACCACCCTGCCTTAGATTAGTTTTTTAAAATGACTAAAACCTATGTCCAGTCCTTTTAGTTAGGCAAGTAATGCATTTATTAATTCACCTCTATATTATCTCCACATGTGGTTGATGGTATTGTCAAACTATAAAATGAGTTTTGCTTTCTATAAGATGGCTTTCTTAGCGACAGGTGCCTTTAATCCCATCACTAGTGAGTCAGAGGCAGGCAGGTCTCTTGTGAGTTTGAGGCCAACCTGTATTTAAAAAAATTACTTTCTTAGCACAGATATATAACGATGGTATTTCATTCTGTCTGTTTCCTTTTTACAGTCCCAGTTAGTGATAGTTTTCTTTTCTGTGACTCTTCACCTGTTTCCAAAGTCTATAAATATTTTAAGTGTCTTCAGATGACTAGGAAAAGTAACTATGGAGAAGATAGTAATGAAGAAAAAATATGTTATATATAATTGGCATAGTAGCAAATAAAGTGATCTATACCAAGGAAAAGCTTTTGTAATCTTTATAGAGGGCATTAAGCAATAAAAAATCGTAAAGCACAGATGTGTGTAACAAATACATGTACTTAAAACAGTAGTTTCACTTCCTCCTCTAAATGATACATGAAGTAGTCTACAAAAAAAATGAGAGCCAACTGCATACTGAATAAAGAAGTGTTCTAAAGGATAAGGATGTAGGCACTGAACATAAGTCTCTAAATGTGTTGATAAACTTAAATTGGCAGCAAAATGGATGAAATGGCGTTTCTCTTGAGCAAAGCAAAGCATATGACTGACAGGTTTGTTAGCTGGTTATCATCCTCAAAAGCAGTGAATGGTGGAGATGAAATGTTGGGTCCTCTAAGAAACAAAGGACTTGATATCTTGGTGTTCTTTTGTTGTATATCCTATCTAGTTATACACATTTACTAAAGAGCTTCATGGTAGGGGAAGGAACAACAACAAAAAGATCTTCATGGTAAAAGTTTTTATAATGAGTATATTACCTTATAGAAGACAGTTTTATTGCAAAGGTAATTACAGAAAAATTAAACTAGACAACTCTTCTAAAAACACTTAGGAAAAAATACACCCAAATATTAGTATTTAATAATTACCTTTGATGTATATAATGAATGACTTTTTAGTTTATTTTCTATAGTAAAATATTTATATACTATGAAAAGTTAAAAGTTTTAAGGATTATTAAAAATTATTTTTCAAAGACCTTGGTAAGACAGCTGTTTGGACTTGAAATATCTGATCAATTGACTCCATTCTTAACTTTGCCTCAAAAGTAGGTTTTTACTATTAGAATTTGTTTTACTTTGGACTCTGTGAGGAAGAACAGAGTAATCTTGGTCAAGTTGTTAATTGTTTTTAGGAAAGAGTTTTCCCTCCTTTAAAATTAGGTAACAGACTAAACTGCAATGTCTGTTACATAGCTCCAAGTAATGTAATTAAGCTTGACCATAGGGATGATCTTTCTCCTTTTGACCTTTAAATTCTATTTTTTTTCCATGAGAGAAAATTTCACAGTGACTTCCCTTTCTCTAAAACTTAAATTCAGCAGGTAGTTAATTAAATAATAATCTTGACTTCAGAAAGATGTTTCAAGCAATCATTAGGGCAGGACCTGGCTTGTTTGATCCATCTCTTAACTCTCAAATCTTAAATGTTAAACTCTCTTGGGTGGAGCGTTGGGAGGAAGAGGACATGAGCCAGTAAACAAAATGACTTCTCATTACTATATAGCTGCTTATGTAGAACATCTGCTGAACCCAGTGGAATGGAAGGATAAAAGCTCATGACAGGAGAATTGATGTGAAAATATAATCAGCATGTTCTCTTACTATTCTGTTAGGAAAATAAAAATGAGACCAGATCTGTTCAGCTCTTAAGAGTGTTTGCTTTACAAATACACCGTAAAGCATGAACTTGAACATATTACCTTGTAGATCTGCATATTTCCTGTATGTCATAGGAAAAAATATTCACCTAGTGCACCTGTGTTTTTTTTTCTTTTTCTCTAACTTTTTAAGTTACCCAAGTTTTGCATATACGTAAATTTAAATGTTAATTAGTAGTAACCAGAAGCAAGTCCATTCCATTTCTTGGTCCATTTATTGTGATACTTGCTTCATGTTCTTAAACAATTAGGTGGTTGTTTTTTGATCTTTTAGTGTAGAATATTATCTTTTGGCTTTCTTGTGAAAAACTAGAGAAGCACCTATGTCTTTATTTCAAGCGGCTCGTTTCCTAACTTCTATTCTTCATGAAAACATAATTTGTATTATGTTGCATTATTATAACTAATACCTGTTCATCATCGTTATGAGTGTTCTCTTAACCTCTGTGTTAGATTTCATTTTTTCTGTTTTATTTACTCTGCTTTTGGTAGAGTGTACCATTTACATACGCTCTGCAGAAAAAAAAAATAGATCAGGATTAAATGTTGTTGTTGTTTTTCAAGACAGGGTTTCTCTGTGTAGCCCTGGCTGTTGTGGAACAAGCTCTGTAGTTCATGCTGGCCCTGAACACACAGAGATCTGCCTGCCTCTGCCTCCCAAGTGCAAGGATTTAAGGCATATATCACCACTGCATGGCTAAGGGACAAATAGTTTAATGAATGAATCAAATTGAATGAAATATTGCTTTAGCCTCAGCTTTCCTTATAAACTGTTTAATCTTAGAATTTTGAAGGTATTGTTCCTCTAGCTCTGATAGCCATTGTTTCTGTTGATTATAATTATATTTCTTCCACTCCCTGGACCTTTTGTAGATAGCCTTTTGTAGCTTGGACCTTTTGTATATTGCTTATCTTTGCCTCGTGAGAACTTTAACTGTTTGGGTTTTTCTGTGATGAAATCATCTACGCACTTGCTCTGACTACGCGTAGAGCCACATCCTCAGTCCATGTTTTGGGTTTGCCTTCAGGAGACTTGTGAAATCTTTTCAGTGTCTTCACTAAATCTATAGATTTTTTTTTTTTTCAAATAAAATACGTGCAACAGCCCAACCTTAACTGTTTTGTCAGTGCCTCCAAAAATATTTTTTTCCATTTCCTGGCAGTGCTTAGCTGGTGGTATCTGTTTTCTCTGTATGGGATATGATAGATTTATACAGTATGTTAGTCTTGCCCACTCCTCCCAGTATGCAAATAGCTCTGTAAATGTAAGTTCAACACTTGAAAAGTTCACAAATGGTTTGACCTACTTATATGTCTGTTTGCATGAACATGTTGACTTATTAATATCTCTATAACATTGTAATTGTTATCTGTGTTATTGGTAAATGTACTTTAAAGGGTTCTGGTGACTACTAATCTAGCAATATAGCTTCTGTTTGAATCTGTCCATCCATGGGAAGTAGTTCAGCATTTCTTTAAAGCTCCAAGTGATAACCCATTTTGTAGATAAAAAAAAGTGAAACAGAGGCTGAAGAGATGGCTCAGCAGTTAAGAGCAGCATTGGAGTTTGATTCCCAGAACCCACTCAGCAGTTCACAACTGTCTAATTCTAGTTGCGGGGTACCAACACCCTCACACAGACAGATTCAGGAAAAACACCAATGCATAAGAAATATAAATAAATAATAAAGAAAAGTGAAACAACAACGTAGATATATTGCCTCAAACCTCCTAGGCCAATAATGTTTTTCATTTATATGCTGTTCTCAAAATGATACAGCTTAAAAGAAGCAAATTCACATGTCAGACGAAACGTTTATATAATCCCTTAGTTACAGATACATTCCAAAAGGTGGAAAGCATTCAAAACACAGCGTTGTCATTTGTATAAAGCAAGAGGTAAAGAACTGGGAAACTATCCAAGAGACTTAAAGAAGTAATAGCCTTCAGTAATGGGACTAAATTTGATTTGAAAGTAATTATCAGGGTTATTAATGTCCGCTGAGATGCAAAACAAACATGTTCAAAACCTTGATCTGATAAGTAGCTATGAAAACTCTTTGCTTATTGTTGTTTTCAGTCCATATCAGTAATAAGCAGAAGAAATTCCTGGATAGACTGTGTAAATGGTTCCCAAGTATCTTAATAATGAACTCAGTATAACACAGCTTCAGAATAGTTATTCTAACTAGATAGAAATTCTAAGTGTGTCAAAGTATACACTTTGAGTCTGATTAATTTCATTGTCCGATATTTTTATTTTCAAGGTTTTTTGTAATACAGTTAATTAAAAATGAAAAGAGAGTAAGGAACTGATGAGTTAATCTCTAACATATATTAAATATTCTAAATAACTTATTCAAATCACTTATGTATAAATCATTTTTTAACAGTTCAACTGTGAATAAATTTATTTATGTTAAGGTTAAACATCTCTGAGTATGTCAATGTTTCATGTTGGATGTGAGCCTTAATCTAAACTTTTAAAGTGAAACACTAACGAGGAATTTGAACCTTACTCAAAGTGAATGGTCCCAACATGGTTGCAAATCCCCTGCTAAATGGTAGCACCACAACCATGCACAACCACGCAAATGGTGAATTGTTGCACTACTGTTTTCTAGTATCAAAACCTGCTGGAGCACAGGCTATTCTTGTAGAGGACCCAAGTTCGGTTCCTAGCACCCACATAGCTCACTATTTGGCCTCCTCTGGCACTGCACTGACATGGTGCACAGGCATGCATGCAGGTTAAACGCCCATACACATAAAATGAAAAGAAAATCAGAAAGTCGTACATTACAAGATATAGCTGGAAAGCCTTGAAGCCACAGCGAACGGTGCAGAGCTTTCCGCAGGCTTGAACAGCAGCTCGTATAAATCATTGTTAACATTAAAACTAGCCCAGTTTAATACAAATTCCTGATCAAACTGTCTCAGTCCGTTTGGGCTGGTATAACAAGGTACTGTAGACCCAGTACTCATAGGCAAAATAAATTTATTTCTCACAGATTTGGAGGTTGGGAAGTGTGAAATGAAGGTACCAGGAGATTTGGTGCCAGTGGAGGGCCCATTCCCTGGCTTTTGGATGGTGGTTTATCACTGTCCTCACAGCATGGAGGGGAAGACAGCCATCTGCGGTCTCTTTATTTAGGGTGCAGACACATGGATGAGGGCTCTGCTTTCATGATTTATTTCCAAGATTCACCTCCTAATACCATCACTTTGGTGATTACGTTTCAATATGTAAATTGTAGGGAGTAGAAAAATTCAGACCATAGTATCAATGTGTTTTGGTGGTGGTGGTTTTGTTTTTTAACTCTGTTGTAAGCTAGTCAGGTATTATTAGTCTGTGAAATCTATCTTCATTTTTATATACCAGAAATAGAGGCTCCTAAACATTTTTAGTAATATCTGAAGATAACACTATAACCATGCTTCATGTTTTCAAGTAGACTAAGGAATAACTCTTTATATTGTGGCTGTGAACCCAATGAAATCTAACCACCACCAATAATAAAAATAAAAAATAATAATCTGTCTTTCATACAGCTAGCAAGTAATATATTAAATTTATTAGAAACCAGTCTTTGATATTTAATTTAGAATTATGTATTCAATAAAAGGGAATTATATATAATTGTGCCCAGCTTTTAACATGGGTGCTGGAGGTCCTTTATATAGCAAGCAGTTCACCAACTCTATGGTTTTTAGAAATAGACCTATATATTACTTTATAATGCCTGAGTACCATCCTCTGCTATGGAAGTTTAGATGGGCTTGAACATGTACCAGAAAGTTAGAAAAAAAAAATGCCTTTAAAAAAGACAGCAAGAGAGAGTTTAAAAAGGGGGAGAGGGAAAAGGTGAAGGAGAGGTGGGGAGAGGTGGAAGCATAGCCATTAGAGGTAGGAGCCAGCCTGAAGTTCTCACTAACAAATCTAGGAAAATTTGAACATTGATAAACGTAATTGAAAAAATAGCAGACCTTCAGTCCTACTGATGATACATGGATGACAGATGTACCAATAGGTGAATAGTTCTCAACCTGTACATAGCAGTGTCTTCAGGGTAGCATATAATTTGCATTATGTTTCATAACAGTTGCAAAATTGCAGCTATGAAATAACAACCAAATAATTTTATGGTTGAGGGTCACCCCAGGATGAAGAACTGTATTAAAAGGTCGCAGCATTAGGAAGGTGGAGAAGTACTACGGTAGCTGGATGAGAAACAAAACCAGTACAATCCTAGCTGAATAGTGTAGATGAAATGATAAAGTTAGAAAATTTGCTAGTTTGAAACAGTGACTGGTTTAGGCAAAAATTATCAGTGGATTCTAAACAGAGGGAGGCAGGTAAGCATGTTAACAGGGAGTAGGATGTTTTTATAATCTGTCTTCCCACATACGCACTCTGGTTACAGGGGCAAACGGTAACAAAAATGACATAGTAAAAGATAGAAGATCATTACAAGTGGTTGTGTTTGTATGCACTGGAAAGTATTAAACATTATCTGTATCATATTCACATGTATGTGGAATGTGCAGCCTGAATTCTGTCATAAGGAAACATCAGACAAACCCAAATGATTGATTTAAAATAGATCATTCTATTTTAATGTGGCCTGTTTTCTTTAAAATCTCAGTGTCACAAAAGAGAAAGATGGAATAGGATAAAATAACTAGTCTAGATTAAAGAAAACTAAATAAACATGGAAACAAAATGTAAATGTGATCTACTATATTGTAAAGTAGAAGTGACATATAAAGGACATGGTTATGACTGTTGTCACTATTGAATTATGGGTGACAACGTTAAATGTATTGTGTTAATATTAATTTTTTAATTTAGTAATTACACTGTGGTCGTGTTAGAGAATGCCCTATTGTTAGAAAATACACAGTGAAAAAATAATGAGAAAAGAGTTGAGGGTCTGAGAGATGGCTCAGCGGTTAAGAGCACTAGCTGCTCTTCCAGAGGACATGGGTTTAATTCCTAGCACCCACATGGCAGCTCACAACTGTCTGTAACTCCAGTTCCAGGACTTCCAACACCCTCACACAGATATACCTGAAGGCAAAACACCAGTGCACATGAAATAAAAATTAAAGAAAGGAAAAAAATAGTCATGTTTTCAAAACGTATCAAATGTGTGTGTAAAGAATATGATAACAACATGTAGCCTGATGTTAACAACTGGGGACTGGAGTGTATGCTGTATAGGAGTTTTCTACTTAAGTCTGGCAGCTTTTCTCATTCTTTGAAATTATTTCAAAATAAAATTATGTTTGATATTTTTAGCCCTTTCAAAGGCACAAAAAGATGTGATGACTATGAAGATGCAGTCAGAGAGACTGTCAAAAGAGTATGATCGACTCCTGAAAGAACACTCAGAACTTCAGGTTGGTGACATGGATTTGTATACATAGATTTTGAAATAATAATTACGTAAGTAAACTATTTGGATTACATGCCCCTCCCAATTTCAAAGTGTGTTTAATTCTGTCTTTGTTAAATAACCAGGGAAGTCATATTTACCTAAAAGATAAAGAATTGCTAACATGCTAATTTAGAAACATTCTGTTTTAGTTTTAAAGAAAAAACTTAAACTATAAAGTAGAAGCATTAAAAAACTGTTCTGGAACAATTAATGTTTCACCATCTGGAATGTTTGCCATATTTATCCCAAAGTGAGGCCAAAAACTTGGTTTCATACCAGATTACTCCAGCCTTTGTTTTTAGTACCTTAGAGCAAAGAACTATGTTATTCAAATACCTGATTTATACCTCCAAAGTTGATTTAAAGATGGGAGGAATCTTTGTTAAAGAAACTCTCAAATTAAGTCATGGGTTTTCTTGCTCTGTCTCTAATTTAGGAAGAGTCAGTTCCAAACATTCATCCATGGTGAGGAGGGGGAGTGGCAGAGATCAGATCCAAGGCCTAGTGCATGATGGGGAAGTATGGTAGCCCTGAGGTTCAACCCAGGCACACTTTGGGGGAAAGTGTAGGAAGAACTGATACAGAGACAGCCTTGCCATATGGCAAATCGGCACTGTGTCCATATACCCTGGATTACACATATAGTACCTATGTCAGTCTTCACACTAGCTGTATGGTCTTGAGATGGTGTTTTTCATCTGAATGAAACTCTCTGCTTTCATCTGTAACAACAATAAAGCTGTATTCACTGGAGTGTTGAAAGAACTAAATAGAATGCAGGGTGCTGACATAAACACTTGAAACTAGAAAGCTGTTAGCTAAGCATGGTGGCACACACCTTTAACCCCAGCATTTAGGTGTGTCTCAAAGAAAAGAAGGGAAAGAGGGAAGAAGGAAAGAATGAGCAAATGACAGACTGAACTATCATCATTGTTTCAGTATTATTTCCTCTGTAGTTTTAGTAAAAGACTGACTTCATCTCAAACACCTACTTCAGCCTTCAGTTACCCAGTCAAGAAGCAATCTAAAAATGTACATAACCTTGTTCCCAATATGTAACCTAGTCTCAGGACACTAAAGGCTAAGTATATGTTGTCTAGAGTAGATGCTTACAATTTATAGAGATCCTGAAATTTCTGACCTCAGGGCATGACAAGAACTACTCTATGACTTTCTCATTATTCAGCATGGGAAGGAAAGAAGTATTTTTGAGGCCTTTTGTCGAGGTAGAATTTACCCCCTCCTATTTGTGAGACTAGGGTATCCTCAACTATCATGTTTTTCCACATTTTGACAAGGAAGAGGAACAAGGTACCAGAAAGGTTTAGGCCCTTAAATGAAAAAAGGGAAACAAAAAATATACCTCAGTCATTTAGGTCAGTGTTTATTGCTTAATGTCTCCATTGTGATGACAGTTAATGGTAACTTTGACAGTTTAATGGGAGTAACTCCTTAACCCTGAAGATTACATAACAGTTAAGATTTCTTCCAGTTTCCCCACTACTCTCAGAAAAAAGAAAAAAAAAAAACTTTCAGCTTGGAGCATCTTTGTTCTTAGCAAAAGATGTGGAAAGCTTTTGCAGGTATACTTTTCCCAAGAAAAGAGTTGTTCCACATGCTTCTTTGGGAAAAAAAAAAAAAAAATACATGCGCGATAAAGTAAGTGCCATGCAGTCTTCAGTAGAGCATTATTTGATAACTCATAGAAACCTTAATAGCGATAACACATTCTGTGTTTGAAATATTACATTTACTTTTACTCAGTGTGCTCTGGAAAAAGCACCTGACTAATAGTCTTATATTTGTGTCATATTTACTCCCACAGCAACTCAGTGAATTAAAATATTTCAGTATCTTTGTTTAGTGATCAAACACGTTAAGAATAAAAAATTTCTTAGGTGATTTGTTCCAAAGTAATTGAGCTAGAAAGAACATTTGAAGCTGAGTATCAAAGTCGGGAAATCTTTCTCTACAACCTCCATCATTAAGGCCAGCCTTTGCTGTGCATCCAACTGTGTATTCTTGGATCCATTCTCTTTCTGCCCCTGTTCCATCCCATGCAGAAATGTATATTTCCAGACCCTTGCTTTTTGAGTCCTTGGCAGGTTTAGCCAGTGAGAGGCATTAGTAGAAAGCTGAAAACAGAAATAGAGAAAGCCACCGATTTCTCCTACCTCCTGCTTAGGTGATCCTTCCTTGCTGACCTTTAGCCCTTTGCTGCCTGGTCACAGTTCCAGTGGGCAGCTTCCACTGGCAGGTCCTCATCCAATTACCCACTCTTAGCCCTCTGGCCCAGACTCATGGTCATTTTCTGCTGTTGCTAATGCTTGGGCTAAACCTTACCACTATGTTTTGTGTGCCTTTTTTCTCATCACTTGTAAATCTGACTTCCTGAAATACCTGTTTAAAGGACTAAATAGCTCCTGTAACCCTCTAAATCACTTGACCTCCAGGGGCCTTGTCACTTAAGTGAGAGATAGGATACCTTAATGAGATCCTATTTCAAGAAAGAATCTACATATCCTTAAACAGGAAAGTCTCTTTATAGCCAGAAGGTACTTAGTTGATTTGTTACATTTTTGTCCTGCCCACTCACATATGACCCATTGTCTGCTGTGAAAACTTAAGAAGCAAGCTGAAATTTAAATGTCATTTTATGGACCCATCCTCTCACTAATGACTGTGATATTCAGATTCTGAGCAACCAAAAGGTAATAGAAAACGATTCTGTAGTGTAAAGCTGAATTTAGCTTGTCCTCATGAATTTTCTTTTACTGTCAAACCAGTCTCAGTAATTTAATTATGTCCTATTTCCGTGGGAAAATTTACTAATTTTCTCAATTTTATATAATTGTGATAGTTGGAATGAAACAAGTATGAATAATTGTTTAAACATAAAAGAAACAAAGGTGGTTAAAAAAAAAAAAAACTGGCTGCTTTTCCGTAACCAAATCTCATTTTGCAGCTTTTAAATCCATTTGAATTTCCCAGCTGAGGCCCCTCCCCGTTAACAGCACTAAATAAATATTAGAAATCAGTCCCTTCAAAACATGTAGTCTTTGTCTTTTCTTATTTGGCCTAGCTGTCTTCTAGAAAGGAAAGGAAAGACAAGACCAAAAAGACAAAAACAAAACCCTGACTAGGTATTATTGGCAGCACAAACAATCAGCACTCACTAATTTTTAAATTTGTTTTGGCAAATCACCCTTCACATAGGCGAATGCCCTGAATAACAAGGTAGTATCATTTCCATTAAAACTTTGATTTATACCTAAAGCAGTCAAGTACGTATAAAAGTGTAGAAGTAATATGTTGCCATTCAAAACACCTCCTCTCATCCTATTTGATTATTTAATGTTAAGTTGTTATAAAAGCATTGATAGCCTTAACAATAGCTGGTGGGCTTTCTGTGTGAGAGCAGTAACATTCTATAGTCACATTCTGTGAGATTTCTTTCTTGACATAAACATTTGCTTTCTCAATACAACTCGTTTTTTAAGGTTAATTCCTGTTTCATTTCTCATCAGTTTAAAGTCACTATCGTAGATTGGAAAAACAGTGTGAGAAGCCAGTTCTCACTAAATGAAGGAAGGTGGAAGGGAGGGGCAGAGAAGAAAGATGGGGGTGGTGCTGGCACCTAGTTGAGGGGTTTCTGGTTTTGCTTTTTGTTTTATAGTGTTTTAAGTTCTAGACTTTCTCAGGCCATATTTTTTATTTTTAATTCTCTAATAACTAGACAAAATACAATTTTATAAATCATATCTATAAACTTGCTTCCTAATCTTTTTTTTTAACAGAACCGTTTTGAAAAAGAGAATAAGAAAGGCCTGTGAACTAACTTTATAAAAGAAGATCGTGATACACCTTGTCAAGATAATAAATTTGTTATCATGGTAGCCACTAAAACTTTTAAAATTCAGTTTAAAAAGAAGCAGCAGCTCTGTTAGTCGCCACAGACACACATAGGCTGTAAAATGTGTCAGATATAAAGTATGTATTTCAGCTCTTTTAAAAAATATAAGCATGTTACATACCATATTTACATATTGCTAATAGCATTGGTGTATGATGATTCTTTACCGGTAAGAGGAAAAATTCATTAGCCAGCCATGTACTTTCCAAATTAGATCAAAATTCGCATGAAACCATTATTAGCTTTGAAAGCTTTGTTGGGTTTTTAGTAATAATCAGAGGACAGTGGTGGTGAAAATGATGTGCTTGAAAATAGTACTCAGTAACAGAAAATTTGTTCACAGGCAAATAAGGATAAATTACCACAATTAGCCACTGTGTTTATAGAGAAGAGTCAGAGAACAATGAAAACAATAGCCTTAGGGTTTTTTAAGCCTAATGATTCTGTAATTTACTCTACATATGACAGCACTATGGATAGTTGTATTTTTGTTACTGTGCTTTTGTACAATTAGACTGTTGATATTTGTTCAGTCATATATAATTAGTATTCTATCTTTTCAAGTTTGTCTGGTAATAGAATTTATTTCCATTTGCAAAACTGTCGGAACACTGAATTGAACTTATGTTGTACTGTAGAATTCTCCACTTACAAAGCTCATTTATGACATCTAAAAAGCCATGTTTTTTATGCTTATGAAATACAGGTGTTTGTAATATACAGGTATTACCTCAATATCCATGCACTGGTGTCATATAGCTCTCTCTAATTCTCAAAGTTAAATACTGGTTTTCATGCAAATATTCATGTGGACATAATGATTGTAGTAATATGATTTAGGTTACTTTGAGTGTTTAACTGTAAAAAGCCACTTGTCTTAACGTGACTTAAATATAAAAAAAAAATGCAAAATAATAATTAGAGTTTGTACTACTCTAGTCTTTGTTTTATCTATAATTTTAATGCCAATTTTATGTATAGTTAATTGTTCTCACTGTAAAGTGGGTAAAATGAGTAATACCTAATTTTATTTCAGATAAAAGTCAGGAGTTAGTGCTAGAAATCAGACATGAATAAGACATTCAAAAGGGGTAAGATATGGGAGTTATGCCATCTGGGATGACACCACCATAAATAAAAAGGAAAGGGAATGAAATAGAAATAAATTAGAAGAAAACTGCTCAATGACTTCTCAGACTTCAGACTTAGAAATATCAAAGCGAGAGTAATATGGTAAATATAGATACTGGATGTGTGAGATCTTAATCTACTCTACAGATATCAGTTGCTATGTCAGTATAACATAAGTTAAAGGGAAACTGCACAGCTTTAAAATTAGAACCAACAGCTAATCCTAGCCTCATGCCTTGTTGACTTGTTTAGTCATGTGATTTGAACAAATTATTCAAATTTCTAGGCCTCCTTTTCCTCATTTCCAAATTGAGAATATTAATATTTAAATAAGGGTTACTATGTAAACTAATATGAATCTCTCATAGTATAGTATAGTATAGTATAGTATAGTATAGTATAGTATAGTATAGTATAGTATAGAAAAATCTGTTTGACAAATTCATGGATTCAAAAGTTTCACCAAAAAAGCACTTTAAAGTTTACAGTTAGGGAATCCTAGACCTCAACATTCAATTTTACAGATCTTTAATTTGAGAGCTCAAACTTTTGAGGAATTTTCCTGGGGGAAATAGAAAAGAGAGCCAGGTTTAGGAATTGAAAATGCAGGTATCCTAGTTCCCTGGATATTAGTCATCTTAATTTGCAAACTAGTTTAATTTGTGAAACCTTAAACAATGTCACATATGTATAAATAAACTGATAACTTGACCACTGGTTAAGGGAAAGGTTTTTCTTGTAGATATGAAAGAGAGAACAGCCAAAGGCATCTGGAAGAATCCAGAGAGGGAGAGAAAATAGTAGACTGTGCATGGCCAGTAGACTGGAACTGGCCAGGAGACAGGGTGGGGAGAGTGAGAGGTGAAAACAAAGAGAGTGGCAAGAGAGGATGAAGAAAGGATATAGTCAAAATAGCAGAATTTTAAATGTGGGTCTCCCCTTTTTCTCAGGGATTGTTGGCAACCAGTCCAAAAGGGTGAGGGGAACAGAGTTGGAGAGAGACATGGTTCAGATAGCCCTGAGTACATCAGAAAGACGCCCCCAGGACCAGCTTCAGTGAGACTGAACAACTTTATTCAGGGCAAACAAAGGCCAGTAGTTCTTGGGGGATGGGTGGAGGGTTCCCCGGGTAGATGTAAGGTATTGGCTGCTGTTTGAAGTACAAGAATGTGTTATTTGCATTTGGCAGCACAGTTCTATCATGAATGGGAACACATACCTAATTATTCTATCGGCAGCAGGAAGAAGAATATTAGCAGGGAACTGTGTAATAACCATATTACAGATACGGTTAGAGTTGTCTGCCCTAGAGACACTCCAGATGAGATAAGGCAGAGAGTGGGAGGCCCTGCTGGTGGGGAGAGAGTCCTCTATCTAGTGCCAAGCTCAGAAAAGCTTTCTAAACCTGGTGAACTGCAACCTCAAACTGCAGGGTCCTCCAGCATATAAGGAGAAATTGGAGGGAAGGAGGCTCTTGAGCTGGAGGTTTATTGTAGGGAAGGAGAAGAAAAGAGCTAGATACTTGTGAGACTGAGAGAGCCTGTAAGGAGACCAGCATGTGCCTTGGTGTGCTAATAGGCACAACAGAGAGGCCTTTGTCCCTTATGCCAGTGATAAGATGTAATAGAAGTTTGGGTTTCTTTAAAAACTCAGTTATGTAAATATGTTTTTGTTTTAATCCCAAGTGCAGGATTTAGTTGGGCTATAGTTTATTCACAGCTATCTAGTGTGGGGCGTGGCTTTTGCTAGTTTGTAACAGCCTTCAGCGTGCAGCATTGAGAGTGCTGTGGTTTAGGGCTCTGAGGATATAAATTTGAGAGCCAAGGAAGAGGTGGTGTGGCACGCAGTGCGTGTGGTGTGTAGCAGTTTGGAGAGACAGTCAGTGTGGCGGTTTGGAGCAGAGAGACAGAGAGAAATGCCTTGGGAAGCAGCGGCATGGAGGAGACTACCAGCTGTGTCTGCTGTTGACAGAAATAGGTATAGAGCCCTAAAAGAACCCATTGACCTTAAACAACCAGGAGCAGTAATGGGGCCTCTCTCCCCACTAACCTTTTCTCTCCTACATAGGGTTGGGAGTTTGAGGCTCTAAAAAACAAGTGCTACAATAAGGTAACTGGCTGGTTTTTTTCCCCCTTTTGTTTGTTTTGTTTTTTAAGACAGGGTATCTCTGTGTAGCCCTGGCTGTCCTAGAACTCACTCTGCAGAGCAGGCTGACTTCAAACTTAAAGATCTGCCTGCTTCTGCCTCCTGAGTGCTGGGATTAAAGGCATGTATCACCACCACCACCCAGCTGTGACTGTCTCTTTTGATAGAGGGGAACCCAGCTTTACAAGTTCATCAGAAATGTTGTCTTTTGTCTATCTCCAGAATTTGGGGGCGATGGAGTTTTCTTTGGACCTGACAATATATAGCCAAGGTTTGAACTAAATAGTATGAAAGAGTGTTTCCTACTACTTTCCAATGTTGGTATTTAGCAAATCCTATACATAGCCTATTGGTTTAAGTACCCTCCATATTAAATTATTTCTCATAATAATGATTTTATGTCTCAGGCTGCTATTTTTGCCTTTTTCATTATAGTCATATAAGTTTGTCAAACTTTCTCTCTACCTGTAATTTGTCTGTGGATCTGATCACTAAGAAAGAACACATAACAGGGCTGAACAACAGTAGAATTTGCAGGAGCCATCTTTGTTGCTTGTACATTTGTAACTGCATTCCCACTGTATATCTTAAGAGTCCAAGTTCTCTTGTGGGCATTTATCCCAGCACTTTGGGGACTAGAATCACTTCCAGGGACCTAGTTCTTGTCCTGATTCATGGATCCTAAAAGTAATTCCTTCTATGGCAAAAGATGCAATTAAGGATCTTGAGATGGAGTGATTATCCTAGCTAATGAGTAAAGCCTAAATGCAGTCAGAAGTACCCTGGTAAGGGAAAAGATCCTTCCACACAGAGGAGGAGTGTTACTAGATGTAGTGGCTCTCAACCATATTCCCAGCACAGAAAGACTTAGGCATGACGACAACTGTGAATTCAAGGCCAGCCTACGCTGCATAGTTCTAGACTATCTTGAGTTACAAAATAAGACCTTGGTTCAAGAAGAAAAATAAAAAGATTAAAAAATAAAATAAAAAGTAATGTGACCGCAGAAGTTGGGACTGACATGATGTATTAAAGTGAAGGGCTCTCAGTAGCCCCTAGAAACTGCAGCAGGTGAGAGATTCTTTCCTAGATCATGGCAGCAAAACTTCTGATCTCCAGAATCAAGAAGATATGAAATTGAAAGCTGCCTGACAGGTGGGTGGTTATCACAGCTACCACACAGATTCATGAACATACAGGACAAATCTCTAACAACCTCCACTATCCCTGAAGATGTTTGGGAAACAAATGCTGTTTGGCACTCGTTCTTCCCCACCAGCCATAGCAGTGATCAAGAACTGCATTAGCCTTTCTGCTTATGTCTGTATTGCCATCACCAAACTCCAAGTCACCACCATCTCGCCTGGACAGTTAAAACAACCCTCCTGGTCTCCTTGCACTTTCTCTTAATCCTTCTCATACATGCATACTTGGCAGCCACCTAGTTTAAAAAAAAAAAAAAAAGGCATGTGGTTTTCTGTTCAAAGTTTTCCAGTTATTTTCTATTGCGCTTAAGATTAAGCCCCGAAGCTGGTTGCGCTGGCTCACACCTGTAATCCCAGCATTCAGGGAGCAGAGGTAGGCATATCTCTGTGAGTTGGAGGCCAGCCTGCTCTACAAAGCGAGTCCAGGACAGCTAAGGCTACACAGAGAAACCCTGTCTTGAAAATAAAAAATATAAAAAAAAAAAAAGCCCAGGATGTTACCAGGCCTCCTACCTATCTGTCTCCTGCTCTGCCAACCACACATGTATTTTAATCCTCATGCAGGTCACAGCCTGGTCCTCACAGGACTTTTGCATATGTACAAAATGTTGTACTCCAGCCCATTCTGGCTTCTTACTCTTGTTTTCTGCTGTGGTACATATTGTCTGAGATGATCTCACTATGACTAACATAGTTCCTGACCACAGTAAATGAGTGGTGTTTAATTTAAAAGGGAGGGAGAATCCTCTAAAATATTTGGTAATACCTAGAAACATTCTTGGTTGTCAAAAGTAGGGTGTTACTTTATGGACAGAGACCAGAAATGCTAATTCACGCAGTCATGCACAGGGTAGCCATCTACAGTAGAATCAGACTCAGATTGTTCATATCATCAAAGTTGAGATATCCATTCCCTTGAATATAAGCAAAAAATAGGAATGTCACATGGTGGCCAGGTCTTTTTTTTTTTTTTCTTCCTCCATCTTGCTTCTTAAAACACTGCTATCGTGGATTATGACAGTGAGTTCATTCAGAATGGAGTAACAAGATAAAAGGAAGATGTGTTGCTAACAGTGTCATGCCTGTCCTGGATTTCTGCTCAGTGTTTAAATAAATGAATGACAGTAGATATTCTTGTCTTTCCTAGCATCTTCAACAGCAGCAACGTGTGTGTATTTAGATATACACACATCTGATAGGCAAAGCCATCAGCTTTTCTATCTTGATTTTATTTGATTGATAGAATTGAAAGAAAGGAGTGGCTTGGTGAAAAGCTGTTTAGGAAGCAATGTTATCCCTGGAGCCCCTCTCCTCCCTCAGACTGCTGGGTTTCTCCCCTCCCAGCTCCAGCAGAAGACAGTCTGTTTTAAGAGAAAGAATTAAATGATGCATGTATTCTAAATTCAGAATTTCTTTCTCAACCAGAATTGATGGCAGTCAGTCCCCCACCACCAAACTGAAAAACAAATGAATGTTTTCTAGTGGGGATTTAGTAGGCCCAAAAGGAATTACCTAGAGATATTCACGTATATGTTGATCTGGGGTGGGGGGTTCCCCAACAACAGGCCTCAGGTGGCTCACCTGACTGGAAACCATGAGTAAGCACTCACTCAGAGCTTCCAGGCAGCTCTTGAGCCTCTCATTTTAAATACGAGTAGGAAGCAATTCAATCCTGAAGATATTGGAGAAAAACTGGCACAGTTTTTTTTGTTTGTTTGTTTTTTGTTTTTTTAACATGCTGAAAATAGTGTATAGGAAGAGAAAGGTCCCAGTGTTCTTAAAGGCTGTGGATTTTTATTTCAATACACTCATAAATTTAAATCTTCAAACATTTATCAGGAGATAAAAATGAGAACTTAAGAAAAAAGGTAGAAGGCCCAGTAGCTCCTCATCATAAATGCCTAAAATAAAATATCTTAGTTCATTTGAAAGACACCAGAGACTGAGTCATTCACATTTAATACTTTTCATTTCCCACCATTCTGGAATCTATGAAGTCCAAGATACAGGTTATTAGGGTTGCTGAGGAAGAAGAGTACCTTGGCAGATGGGGCCAACGAATGCTGCAGAGATAATAACATGTAACAAACTCACCTAAGATATTTATTGGGGTTGGGGTATGCAAAGGCTTCCTCTGAATGATGATTGAGGAAAAAGAGACCGAGGCAGACACAGAGAGACAGAGAAAGAGGGAGGGAGGGAGGGAGGAAGAGAGAAAGAGAAGGAGGGGGAAGTTCTGCAGAGAGGGAAGTTGGGAGGGAGGGAAGAAGGGAAGAGAGAATGGCGTTAAGAGGGACCCATGATGGCAGGGACTCTTAAAGGGTATACTTGTCACATTTGGGGCTGGTGATAAAGGTGTCTGCTGGCACTGAGTCCCTGAAGGCAGGCTGGGGGGAGGGGCACCTGGTTCCTAACACAGGTGCTAGCAGCTTCCGTGTCTGCTGAGAGCTGTCTTGTGCATCTTTGGTGATTCCTTGATTCTGGATCCTTCAGAGAGAAATAGTCTGTGGCAGAAAATCAGAAAGGCAAGAAGAGATGAACTTCCTCCTCTAAACACTTTTATGACAGCATCTAATCCCTTCATGAGGGGAAGAGCTCCCATTACCTAATTTCTACTTACAGAGTGCAGTTAGTAATACCACCAGATGACCATTAAGTTCAACCGCTGAATTTTAGAGAATATGCATTCCAAGCAGTGGATAGATCCACACTACTGAACTGGATTCAGTGAGAAGGATCTACAATGTCCAGGAAAGTCGCAAAACTTAAGCATATCTATATTATAAACATAGTATAGATAAAGTCTAAAAATCTTTACCCTCTCTTCACCAAGAAAGGGTAAAATCAGGTGATAAGGAAGGATGAGGGATAGGCAGAGGGCATATGGGACATGAAAAAAAATGGGTGGCTACAAGGGGGCAAACAGGAGTAACAGCATTGGAGAGATGGAGGAAGGAGAAGCAACCAAAATGCTTTGTTCAAAAATATCAGAATGGTATTATATGCTGATTTAAAACCTGTGTGTGTGTGTGTAAACTAGTGGATGGGAGATGTCTCCATCTAAAAGATGAATAAGCCAAGAAAGAGAAACACTGAAACTAAGAAAAAGGAAATTCACACAGGCAAAGGCTCTTACAGGACTTTTGTAAAGTGAGGTCATTAGTTAGAAGCAGCACAGGCAACTCTTCCAGAAGATGTTGATCAAAACCTGGTAAGGATGTGTAGGGAAAAAGACAAGTGTAACCAGGAAGCAAGGTGAAGCAACAAACACAGGGAGTACAGAAACACAAAATATCTAGGAAGTAAAATGTAGTTTACATATGACTCTATTCTGAGTAGAAAAAGGAATTTTGATAATATATTGTTGATCCAGCCAAAATTACCATATATGTATTTGAACCTCTATTCATATATAAATGAACCTCTATGGAGAACACAGATAAGTGTGCAGAGATTTGTTAGTGTGGAAGCTATGTCCTCATCTCACAAGTAAGACAAAGTAAATTATTTAGAGATACAAATGTTTAAGAGTCAGCAAAAGGACTTGAAAATTGGTGTGCTTGGGAAGGGGAACTGAGAAAAGGAGCTAAGGATTCTGATGTAGCTCATTCACACTTACTAAGATTGTTGAATCTGTAAGGTATAAGACTGAACATTCTTCTGTAATTTTACAAAGCAATATTTCTGAATTAAGCACCTTATTTTGAAACATTATGCAAATTAATGATGTATGTATCATATTAGCTCTTTAGAAAAAAGCAAAAACCTTCTTTACACTTCTATATACTGATTTAGCATTGTTCCTAATGCAGTTGCATCAACATTGCATTAACATGAGACTTTATCTCTTAGAACCCTAAGATTTGATTAAGATATATACCAATCGGAATCTCACATTGAACATCTTTCTTCTGACTATAGCCTGCTTAACAACTCTGTCTTTTCCTTCAGTGTTTTACATTACAACTTGAATAGTTGGACCTGTTCTAGTGAGCAATACACAAGACCCAATTGGAAGATAACTTGGCAGAATAAATAGGAAGAAAGACAACAGCTAGGTAGAGAACAAGGACCAAAGCTACTAGCCTCTGTTAATATATTATTGTTTTATATATATATATATATATATATATATATATACACACACACACACATTAGGTACCTACTGTACACAGCATTGAGATAGTAA